TCGTATCACTAGCTTCTTCCAGAGTTGATCTAACGGGTCTGCGTGATGGAATAGAGGGTGTCAAAGCCACATGATCTGAAGAAACATCTTCAGTGCTTTTTTTCGTACTGTTTAATTCTCCTACTGAAGCCTCCAGAGGGCTGTGTGAAGATAAATCAACATGATCGGAACCAGCACTATGTGCCGAATTTTTATCATCTTGGGATTGAACTTCTTGCTCTACTTCTGTCAAAATAGCCTTACTCTCATCTGAATTTTTACCCACAGCTTGGACAGGTCCCTCTTCAAAAACGGAAGGATCGTCGGCCCCGACCCCTATAGGAGATTGTATAGGTCTGCGAGAAGGCACAACAGGAATAGAAGCTTCTGCCTTATCTAGCTCTACTGACCCTTCAACTTCTTTTATATCCAATTCCGATTGAGTTGAATTCTTATCGTTGTCCGTGGCCCCTGCATTTTTCTTGGGTCTTGCGGGGATTGTAGGTTCAGCTTTGGCTAAGCTCTCGGAAGTACTTACGCGAGAAGGACGCTTAGGAATTATCGGTTCCTGATCACTACTAGTTTGCAAGTTAGTCTTCTTCGCAGGTCTAGTAGGAATTGAAGGAATTGGGCTCGAATCCAGCATTGTATGTGTGGTTTTTATGTAACAAAAGACAACGTGTGTTCCTTGTTTCGTTTATCGCGTATAAATTTGATCCCCTCCCCATTTTCAGTGATTTCGAAAAATGCAGAAAAACGAGTGAGCAAAGCTCCCATGAATAAAAAACACCAGAAATGGGGCTACAGAAGTAAATTCCACTATTTTATCTCTTATATTATATTATCTAATTGGAACCTTACAAATATAGACTAAATATGCATTTCATTTTACACATTTTCTCCCTTATTGATTTCCTCTACGAGTAATTCAATCTGAAAATGTCATTGAAAACATAGTAAGAGTTTCCATCCGGATTCAAGTGGAAAACTTGTGAGTAACGTTGAGCATTTTGCTCTTCATCGATTAACAATTCCCCAGTAACCATTACCAAGATGTCACCATTGGCAGAAGCTGGTTGAGCATCTAAAGTAGAAATTCTGTGTGCAACCTTTTGGAAAGGTAATGAAACAAGTTTTTCGACAATATCCTTAGCACCTTGCAATTGGGATGTTTCAAATGTTAACATAGATTGATCCCTGTAAAGATTACCCAATTGGGTTCTGTCAGAATCAAATTGTTGGTAATAGAAATTACAAAATTCAGTAGCAACGGTGTTAAAATCGACTAGAAAGTAGTTATTAGTATATGAAAATGACAAAGTGTGGCAAGTTGTTACTTGAGCAATGATGGATATACGACAATGAAGCAATGAAAACAGAAATTAGAAGATCGTATCAAAATTTCCTATCGACTTCAATTAGCAGATCTATGATTGAATAGTCCACCATCGATATCCGCTTAGAAGGTACATACCAGACATGGTAAATATTTGCTTGAGTATAACAAGTATATCAGTTAGCTAATTGGAATAGAACTAATATTGCAAGTGTTAAATTTTACTCATAAAAAATCGATTGAGCTGAGGTTTGGTGACACAAATTTTGAGTATACTGCATATAAAATATAACTGCAACCAAATTACTTGGTGCGTGGTGGGCCTACCTCAAGTACGAGGACGAACCTACTTTGTTCATTGGATCTTAGCGTAACCTGTGAAGGTGGAGCATGGACACTAGCCTCAACACACGTATATTAATTGATCAGAGATATTCACTTGATATTGGCTAACCAAATTTTTAGACTTGTACTATAAACCATAGGCGACAAGTACTGCCCAAGGCATTGATATAACCACCTTGCATTTACTTCTTCTATATACCGAACGCTAGAGTATATAATTCTTCTCTCAAGATAAGTTTGAATAATCCTTTAAAATTCCCTTCATATGTGTATTCGTGATCTTTCCTCTTCTGGCCTTCTTCTGCTTCTTCTCCTGTTGGAGAGGTTTCTTCTTTAATATCATTGGATCAGCTCCAGTTGGCTTTAAACTTTGATCCAATAACGCTTGATAGAGGTTATCTGGATCAGGCAACTTCACATTGCTCCACATTGTACAGAATTCATCATCAATAAGTCCCATTTCACCTCCTAAATTAGCCCAAATAAACCTAGGAGAGTTTTCCTTCTTGGTCTTTAGCACCAATATTTTTTGCAGAGACTCTAGTTCATTTATTGCTTCTAAGCAACCCGACCATCCATCTCTAAGTTCCTTCACCAGCACTCCTTTAAAGGTTGGCTGTGATCTTAAAAAATTCAATAAATCATCTGAGCTTCGTATGTTATGCAAGGAAACATATTCAAGTGTGTTCTTATCTGGGGTGTATCTGATTCTATCAATTTCTTTCAAGAGAGGGAGCAATGTTTGATGTATGTCGAAGGACAAATAGTCTTGCAATTTATTCACTGACACAGGAGAGTCATGTTGCTTGATGTATTCTACAGCAAGGTGCAATTGCGTGGAAAGATGTGAACCTGATATTTGGTCAGTAGCTGCCTTTTGTCTCTTAAAGACCTCTGCAACAGTATCTGTCGATCTTTTTTTGGAGTTATTAGTGTTATTTTCCGATTGATCTTGCTCTACTGGTCTCTGAGTTTGAATTGGGCGACGAGGAACAGCTACTGAAGGTCCACTTCTGATTTTATTTTTGAATGCAGATAATTGGGCCAATAAATCGGACATGATGAGTGAGCTAAAGGGTGTCGTTGAAATGAAATGAAAGAAAGATGTGAATTAGTATATGCAACTTATGAAATTTTTAAGCCGGTCGGTACGCCAGTATATGTTGGAAGCTGATGATACATCAGTTGGGCTAGCACCAAGCGTACCTTGAATTTGTCATTCTATACCCTACATTTTAGTATTTGACTGCGCACGACCCCAATTTAATATAAAGCTCATCAATTCCTTCCTAAAAATTTTTTTGTTTGCTTAGTTTTTTAGTAACATGAATTTCTTAGTGGCTCTTATGTCAATAGATAGCATTAACAATGAGCTATGGATGTAAGAGGCGCACTAAGGTTTTCTAGAGAAAACTTTAACCAGCTCTAAAACCATCGCTGTTGGAGGTCGCCGTTAGTCAAAAGCTAAGCAGGCAGATCCATGAAATGGTGATGACCTGAAGTCTGGCACATCTTTACTGTAGTAATTCAAGAACTCTTCCCCATGTAATTATTTTACAACTAGCTCTACATCTTAATCGTTTAAGAATAAATATTATTACAGTTAGAGCGAAACTAACTAATAGACATGTTAGCGCAACTTAGTTAACTATGTTGGCCTCGCTAGTACACACTAGCGGAACAAATTATACAATGGAAAGGAAACCTTCTTTGAAAACTATCATAATTAGAGCTCTTTCGATTCTTTTAGCTAAAATAATTCTCTCCGATTCTTCCCCTCCTCACCTGATCTCTTCTCGTGTTATACTCATTCACATCTAAGACTTCATCTCTAACAATCTTAGTGGCCAATCTGAATCCTTGAACCAGTTTTAAATCAATCCTTTTAGCCCACAGAAGGTTCTTATACATTCCGGAGTCAGTCAAATCTATTACAAGATCTTGGTAGCAACGATCATCACAACTGGAGATAACAGACGACGTATCTAAACTACTCTCATCGTCATCATCACTCATCATACAAGGATCATCACTAAGGAATTCAGAAATGAAGTCTCTCACTGAGCCTTTAGTGAGCCAAATCATTGAAGAGAAGTTAACATACTTCAACGTATTATAAATCCCAAATCTATTGGAATGAATTTTGGCTAAAGTAGTTAGAAGTTCCTTTTCTTGTATTCTCGTAAGGTAATTGTTGTTTATAGATTTTAAATTTAAATCTGAAAGGAAAACTTTACCATCACCCTTCTTAGTATAGGATGTATCTACGGAAGATTGTGGTAAAGGTGGTAGTAAGCTATTGTAGCGAGGACGAGTAGGGGGATGGAATGAATAAAGAGACGATGCTGAGGAGCTGCCAATAATGCTACTGTTAATAGGTGCGCTAAAGTTGTTGCTATTGTTGCCAATCAAATGGTTCAGCTGAATTGCTGATTTAATGCTCGCAGCAGAGAATTGAAAGCTCTTTAAGGAATCCCTATCCCCATTTACACTACCACTTAATGCAGTAGTTCCTCTAAGCAGAAATTGACCACTATAAATACTTTCGTCACTATTTATAGGGGCTGCCATTAACTTATTGATAGTAAATGCTAAATCTTTCGAGTAGTTGTTCATTAAATCATAAGTTTGATATTTGTACGCCATCTTAGGATCTATTTCATAGTCGGCTGAAAGTGAGAGATTTGCTAAGTTTATGGATACAAGATTGGGGCAAAGATTTAACGTGTGCAATACATATCCAATTGGTATATCCTTATAAGATGAATAGTTGAAAAGGAATTTATTCATGGAAGGGTGGGGTTGTTGAACAAGTCTTCTAGAATTGGCTAATGATGTCACAGATGGCGAGGACAAATTTAACACAATAGGAGACACACTGTTGCGCTTATCAAAGATAATCCTTTGCCTTTTCCTATTCTTGAAGTACTTTGAAAGTCTAACAATCTTAGACGAGGACGACATATTAGAAGAGTTCGTCGTAGTGTGGTTAGTTCTTACGGAATATGCCAACGATCTAGCCAGAGCTTGACTATTTGATCGAATCTTGGTGAGATTACCTGAAGTGGAACCAGCTACAGAAGAAGCAGGTGTAGATGGCTGGTGAGTTGAATACAATGGGTTTGATTTAAACTTCCAATCTCTCCAGCCTGCCAATACAAATTGGTAGTTACGATCAGTATGCTCCTCATGATGTAGTTGATATTCATCCAATGACCGTCTCCCACCGTGGACGGTAACTGGAAAACCTCTTCTGTGTTCAGTTTCCTCTTCGATTTCCTCGTCCTCTTCGTCAATCCCAAAATTGCTTGGTTTAATGCCGGATAAATCGATCTCCTTAACATAGCATCCAACTTCAGAATTGAGTCTCAAATACGTGACAAACAGTGCAAACTTGTAAGTTGAAGTGAACGACAAGGATCTATAAAACAATGGCTTAGTCAATTGATAGAACTGCTTGTTGATGAGCAAACAACACTTATAGTCTTCAAAATCATCCACAAATTCCAAAATATGTTCAAGGATTTCGATTGGGAGATTTTTGAGCTGCACTGGTACTTGCAGCTTTGCACTACTGTGGCTGACAATATTACTGTTTGCGTTGTTGAAGCTGTTGCTGGTAGATGTCTTGATGGGCTGGAAGTCTTGGTCAAGATTCTTGCGCAACGATAAGATCGAAGTTCTCCTTGATACGTCACTTAGCAAAGATTTATACTTCATCTTGAACTTTGACTTTGTACCACTGTTGTTGTTAGGTGTACTACCAGAAGAAGACGAAGAAGAGGCAGCCGCTGCAGCAGCAGCACTTGACCCCACAAGGAACGGCAACGACCAGTCGTTTTGCGTTATGGGGATCAATGTATGTGTCCTGTAGTCATATCTGGCATGTGGTGACAACAAGGAGCGATATGGTGGGAGATATGAATGTAGGTCGAGTTGATTTGATGTGTCAGATTTGATCATTTGATAACCGTAAAAGTGCTACAGATCGTGTTCAGCAATTCGTGAAATTCTCTTCTGTATTTCCCTAATTGAACAATGACTTACACTAGTTGACAGCGTTGTGCCCTACAAATAACAAATATACAAAAGGTCAGTATCGAAACCTCGGCTGATGAACTGTTCTGTAAAATAACGCTACTCCGTTTTGCGCCTTATGTCCCCCCTCTTTTGCTACCCCCTATTAGAAGCGAAAGTATATGCAAGCACAGAAAAAAGATTAAAATAGCGTAGTTTGGAAACCTAGCCCCAGGGAGGGCTGAGGCATTAAGCACGGAGTCTCAGAAAAATTAGCCTAAAGAAAAGAGGCGCACTACGACTAGAGGGAAAATTTTTGTGGGGCAGGGAAGTAGACCTTTAGATAGCAATTCAAGGGATGGTTCGCTAACTCCACTTCTCAAGGATGAAATTCAGCCAGTGAACGAGAAGATGTTGCTGTGCCACATTATGATCAACAAGATAACGTCTCCACAGAGATCGAGTGGACTTGCTGATCACTGTTTTTTTTTTTACCTTTTAATTTTTTTTTATTTATTTTTTAGTGCTTCATTTTTACCTTTGATCTTATCGGTGAAAGTTTAGCTTTGGCATCGTGTGAACTGGTGTTAACTACGTGATTTGAATTTCAAAACGGTTGAAGATGAGTATGCAGGACCAATGCTGCCTTGTAGTTAAAGGTTGCAGGGACTAACGCTGGCTGTAGCTAAGGGTTGCAGGGCCGAATAATGCCTGTGAAAAGCAGAATTTCACCAACTTAGAATTTGGTAGCACTGCGAGAAGAGTGAGGCAAGCGACTAGACGAAATAATGGGAATGGTGGCGAGTAGGCACACTTTTAATATCCCAATTGCCTTTCTTATCGCAGAATCAGTACGGCATTCGACACCGTCAACAGTGTGCAGGTCCAACCTCTCCATAGTAAACTTCAGATTTTATATGTATGTGTTTCATTTGCAATTTTTAATTATTGTGGTATCATAACCACCCCATATTTAAAGAAAAATATTTTCTCCAATAAAAAAAATAAAAAAAGCAAAATAAGTAGGTACATATTCTTGTTTACGAACGGAACGGAAGGAAGTACATAAAAATATACTTTAAAATTTCATATCTAACAATTAAGAAATTCAAAGCCTTTCGACAAACAAAAACAACATGAGCCCTTCCTAGCGCACGTAAAGTTACAAGCTACTATAGTGCAACAAAAGTAGAAAGAGACGAAGATAAAAAAAACTATCCATTCACGCATATTGAACAACAGGAAAGGGGGGATATATATTTTATTATTTGCAAGAGCTATTTATCCCAATTTGGTGCGCATGAACAATCGTATCTAAGGAGAGCAATGAAAAGAAAAGAAAAGGGAGGGAGGGAAGCAGGGAAAAAAAAAAAAAAAACTGAATTACGAATTACGAATTGCAAGGGAGATTGATGACTTGCTTGTTTTCATATGGCAATCACTAGTTATCGAATGACAGCAAAAAAGCGTATCCTGGTATGCAATGAGATAATATGTACTCCTGTGAGGGATGGTTATGGAATAAACTGTAGCCATCGCTTAATTTTTGTTCGCTTATACCTCCATATTAAACTACCTTCCTTTTTCTTTGTGGCGTCGATACTTCAGAGGTCGTAAATTATTCATTTTTTTTTTTTACTTCCTGGTTTATGGTGAGAGAAGAAGTCAAACTAGAACAACTCTACTAGAAGGTGAAAAAAAAAAAAAAAAAAAAAAAACCTTAGACAAAAATCTCAATGCTACTCATTTTAAGTCAAAACACCGTAGGGGTAGTTCTAGTTCTAGTTCACTGTTCACCCTCTGATTAGACAGAGAGCGATTTAAAAAAATACTATCAGGTACGCCTGTTCAACACCTTTTGAGGATTTAAGCAGCAGGAGCTGATTTAGGTACAACTTCCATTCTCTGTCGTTTTCTAATGTATCAAATCCTACTTGCAACTTTTGCATATGCTTTAGATAGTCACGACGTTGACCATTCTCTCTATTGTCAAAAAAAGATTCGGTCGAGACCGAATGTTGAATAGGCTGCCGTAATTTCTTTCCTTTTCCGTTTTTATTTTCTACTTTATTTTTTTTTTTTAAATTTTTTTAACTACGTTGGCGACATGGTGAATACAGAAAGGTTGATTGTCTTATTTATACGAAAGGTTAGCGCCATGATTGACATTCATCATATAGTAGTTGCCACATTCTTGAAGTATTTTTTTTTCTTCTACATTGATTACTTTTGGTTCTACTGTCCCCTCAACCATTGCCTGGACAGACAGACAGAAATATGCATCATGCACCTGCCAAAACAGGAAGCGTCTACGAAACTCCCTGCGCAAGCGTAATGCGGAATGCATCATCAAACACTGTTTAATGTCACACAAAGTGGGCTTCTTTTCGGTTAGTTTATATAAAGTTGAATAGATCCAATTTGGACTAGTTCAGAAATGAAAACGGGAAAAAATTGATTGACATAAAGGAATAATAACTGGATAGCCAGGACTTTTCATTTTATTTAACTTTATTGAATATAAATTGGAATTAGCGGGACTAAAAGAGAAGGGTACAATCCTGTTAGCTTTCGTAGAAGGATAATTTAACAAACGAAAGTAAATTGTGTAATTTTTCCTCGAGTTTTTCTAACTTTTAAGTTTCAACTTGAGGTAGGAAAGGGCACTGTTTAGATACAAACAAAAAAGGACACCTTAATATATATTACTATATATATATATTTATATACGGTAGTTGTATATACACATAGGAAAAAGTAAGTATAGAGTTATATTAGTTTATTGATCGAAACTATCACTATATACAAGTGGTTGATCGATTAGTTCGACTTTCATTAACAGTCATAGAGGCGCGGCTAATTCGTTGTTAATAAATTGGCTTTCGTTTAACCCAATTGACAGTGTGGTAATCAAGATTATACAATTCGGCCCACATAGTACTTACTATTGAAGAACAATATTTTTACCTGGAAGCCCTCGACCCCACACTCTTTTAATTGTAACCTAAAGGAATTAGTTCGTTTATTATTCCTTGCACGATTTTTCTGTTAAAAGAAGTACTAACTCACAATCTTTAGCCACTACTTATAACATAGAAAGGTTCTATAAGTTATAAATATATACCTTTGTATCTATACATCTATACAGTGGCCATATATCATTTGATTGGAAAAATAATCTGAACTGAATTTCTGCAACAATTTTGGGCTTGAAAGATGTCAACTTCGGCTAAAATTACCCCTTCATACTATGGATATGTAGGGTCTACCAATGATGCACTCTTGATTATTCAAGCAGTAATTCAAAAACAATTGGACCCAATACCACGTAGACCGCACGAGCGTGAAAGACCGCTGCTCATTAAGTCCGGTAATGTCTTTGTTTTTCTTGAAGAACAGTCTGGTATTAAAAGATGGACAGACGGGATTGCTTGGTCTCCTTCAAGAATCTTGGGACGTTTTTTGGTCTACAGAGAATTGGATAAGCAATCATTAAACGAAAAGGATGACAAGAAGAAGAAGAAGAGGAAAACTAGTTTTGATCAAGATCCTTTAGATCTGAAACAGTTGATGCCTCCAGCGCAACAGTTGTTACAATCATCCGAGGGCTACACTGACAATGATTTCAATAAGCAGTTGGTTGGATCTTTGTTAAGTTCCTACGTTTTTAAAGATCAGGGTCTTATCAAAAAGACTTTATCGTTATCTTTACCAGCTTCTTCCGTTTTGTCCAGTAGCTTAACTTCGAACAACCCCTCCAGCAGTAACAAAGACAGCAAATCGGATTCTTCCGACAACGATAAACACACCATTCACCTTATTAGCTATTATAACGCTGATGATGTATTGAATGGAAAACTTCAACGTCCTTCTGTAACAGACTTAAAGGACTTAGTGATCCCTAATGAACTTTGGAGCGCTATAAAGGAAAGTTCCCTCGGAGGTAAAATTCCAATTGAAGATGAAGCCTTTTATTTTCTCGATACCAACTATCAATTGCAAAACATGTCTTCCTTGCTGCAACAACTGGTCCACCACCAAGGCCAACAACATGGGAATTCAGGTCAAGGTCTAGGACAGAACACCCAAGGACACCCACCCCCACCACCTCACCATCAACATATGTTGCAACCTGGCTTTTTTTCACAGCAGAAGTATCCAGCTCCTGGTCAACAGCAGATGCACATACTACCAATTCCTCTTCAACAGCAACATGGTGAAGACCAACATCACCAAAATTCAATGTTACCACCGCCACAAGCTGGTCAACAAGCAGGAGCAGGTGGCCAACAGGCACAAGTTGGTTCTTCTTCTAATGAGCTTAATTTTATCAATCCATTCACAGGATCCAACCCAAATACGGGCGCCTCAGCTGCTGGTACAACTACAGGCAACACAAATAATAATTATGGATTTGGTATGTCCGCAGGTTCGGGAATTCCATATTACAACAACAACTACATGAACCCACCACCACCTCAAGCACAACAACAGCAACAAACACCAGCCCAAGGAACTCCACAACAACAATTCTCTCACAATCAGTACATTGATAATAATAATGCTTACAACTCCGCAGGAACTTCAAACTCGAATTATCCGCAGCCAAATTACCCTCCTTTTCCCCAACATTTCCAACAGATTTATCCACAGGGACAAGGAGGACAAGGACAGCACCAACATGGATCTATTCTGAACTCTAGCGAGTACTCCATTGGTGGGAATTCGAACGGATCAATTTCATCTATCGGGTCCACTGTTGTAGAAGGAGGAAACGGTGCTAGTGGTTCAATCTCAAGTATTTCCGGAGCACCACCTTCATCTATTACAAAAAAAGGCAGAGGCAGCGTGGTGGGTCAAAGTAACTGGTTTACAACCTCAAGTTCTAATAACCCTGGAGCAGGAGGATATGTTGCTCCTCCACCTGCTAATGTCAACTTGGGGCAATCAATGGTTGGAGGAGATGGTCTTCATCACCATACCAATCATCACCACAGCGATGAAACAAATAATCTGACCTATGTGACTAGCAGTAATTACAGCGGGACAACTTAAGATAGGTACAAAAAATAAACAATAGTGATAAGGGAAAATGACTACAACTTCTGTAGTAAAAATAATATCTAACATAAGGTTGGTACATGAAAGAGATGATCTTGATCTAGACCAACCCCTACTTTCTTTCTACAAAAAATATGAGTGCAATCGACGGATTAGTTGCGATTTAACCATAAAATATTTATAACCCTAATATGTATTCTACTTTTATTATATAAGAACAAATTAATGCCTTATGTGAAAGAGCAATAAGAGAGAGAAGTTTAACCTTGTAGTCTTTAGTTTAAATGTTAAGGTAAAAAAAAAAAAGAATTGAAAGACAGCACTATCTTTAATGATAGCCTGCGCTTAGCAATTAAAGTTACACTAAGCTGCTGCATAGCCTATGTACTCATTAAGGATTAGAGATATTAGAGATTTTCCCTAACTAAAACGTTTAAATGGCCTTTCAAGGGTTCCCGATTATAGGATTGGCGCATAAGTTAACCCATTTTTGTTAGATTTCATATGCTCAGCGTGTAAAAAATGATTAATTAAAGTACAAACAATTTTACCCCTTGCATTAGGAGATTAGGCAGAATATTCCAATAAACTTAGAGCTCACGCTAAAGTAATTTGTAGGCTACTAAGACATAAGAGGGTAAATAGACAGCAAAGATTATGTAATACCGTTGCTTGGGGGGATACGCCATTCCAATTGTATATATTATTTTCATTGTATTGACACGTAGACCCCTGCAGTTTCTTTCAAATTTTAAATTTTTTTCTTTTTTAAGTATTAGTACTTGCAAGGAAATAGAAAAGTGCGTCCTTGCAGCGGAATTTTATACTTTGTTTTGAATAAACAAGAAAAGGTAGTGGAAACAGAAGCATCATGTAACAGAAGATAAACTACAGTTGCACCGCATATGTGATTACAGGAGAGAAATTTGCATCCTGAAAATTGTATAAATATAACCGTAGCTTTCGTAAAGCAATCAAGGAGCGTTCCAACAAATTTGTCGTATTTGAGAACGGTTAATGTATTTCACAAGAAAAAATAGAATATATTATAATATGAAACTACATTATAAAACTCTTCACGATCTCACAGAAGACCTTCGATAAATAATTCGAGAACAAGAGGAAATAAGCTTTTTCACAATAGAAATGGCATGCAGATACTGGCTAGATACCAATAACTGAGGGGTAAACACACGATAGAGAGAAAAAGCCAGTGAAGTGTTTACCAACTACGAAAATAAATGACAAAAAAAAATTCGAAAATCAACATTGCTTCATTATCATCCAACAGAAATAATGCATAGGTAAGGGTCTTGCTGGAAGTGTGGAGACGAAAAAAATTGGAGAAAAATTAGCTAAAACGCACTCATGTACGTAATCAAAAATTGTGCAGAAGATATTTTTGTTTTTTATCAACTGAACCCAGACCATGCAGTTCATGCCAGAGTGCATGAAAAACATATGCATCACCGCTTATGTAGGATAAACCTCTACATTCAGGATGATGATTTCAGGATGCATTGTGATAACCAAATCAAGAAGCTTAACTGGCACGTTCCCTTACATAAAATACATACTCGTTAAAGTTTCACCCGCCTTCTACATAATCGTTTGGAAGTTTGTTAGCAAAGCTAAATTAAACTTATTAGTCTCAAATCTGAAGCCCCTATACGGAAGTAAACAAGAAATTTTCCAAAAAAAAAGAAGAGATAATCGCATACTACTACTTTGATAGAATTGGAAAGCTCACATAAGTGGCGATTCAAGGCAGATTATATCAGCTGCAGCTGTCTCCTAAACTCCACAGAAGGACAAGGGCCGAAAATTAAAAGAAAAAAAATAAAATATATTGTCTTTTCGAAGACGTTGGATGAAAACTGTACGTCCGCTTATTCTTGTCGTACATTGTCATTTCACTCTCTGGGAGCACTACCGTATTTGAATCTTCAAAATGTTGCACCATGCATTTTCTATAAGCTACTTTCTTCCTAGTTATTTAATATTGCAAACTATAAGATTGCCAGGCAGTACCTATATCATTGTCCTAAACACACCGATTATGTAAACAGCCAATGGATAATTAGAGTTATACTTTACGTTTCGTCTACATTGCCTTTTTTGCTTCATGCTTCATGCTTGTTTCTTAGTTTCTTACGAGCATTAATCAGAAACAAAAGAGTAAAAAAAAGAAATTGGAACATAGAGAGGTATGTTTTGCTAATATTTCTCATGCACGAAATCTCTAAACTTTATTTCCGTTAGCCTATGTAGTCGAATCCACCAGTCCGCTTAGCTTTTTCCTAGTGGTCTCTGAGTAAATCCTATCGTCTTCCTCTTGTTATAATTTTTTTTAGCATACAGTGTTCCTCCAAATTCTAAATTCTCACGTAAACTCTCGGTTATTTGTTGATTGCAAGGAATTAAATGTTAGATTAAACGGATTCAGTCGAATGGTTCTATCAATGTTCTATTCTCTAGTTTAAGTGATGAAGCGAGTATAAAAAACTGCTTGACACAACCTCCTCTGAGACAGCTGCTTAGAAATAATTGTAAGTAGCTTCCCTTTCTCAGTTTAACATCGTAGTTGCAATGCTTCAGTGGTTTATTGCAATGGCAAAGAAGTCCACCAATGATAAAGCTTTTTACTCTTCGATCAGAACTTCAATATCTTCACTTTCGTTATCATTATCTTCTCGTTTCCACTCCAACAATGGACACAACTCTTCAACCAGTCCTCCCATATCCTTGATGAATGTGTGTTCTATTAACTCATCCACCAGTGCTCTGAATCTAACATCAACACATAGACATATACTCAAGAACTTTTTGATGGAAACAGATAGTTCCTCTGGCTTTTGTAACTTTGGTGTACCATTTGTAGCTATTAAATAAAGAGCTTTCAAAGGCTCCTCATTCAAATATGGTGGTTCTCCTTCAATCATTTCAATTATCATGATACCAGTACTCCAAACGTCTACCTTCTCGTCATACTCTTTTTGTTTGACAATTTCAGGAGCCATCCAATAGGGCGTACCAGCCATAGTGGCTCTCTTACTTCTCTGGTCTGTTAGTTTTGCACTGTATCCAAAATCAGCTATCTTAACGTTACCTAAATGGTCCAATAATACATTGTCACTCTTAATGTCTCTATGGATAATGTTCTTTCTATGCAAAAATTGCAAACCTTTTAAAGTTTCGAAAATAATAATGGATATCTGTCTTTCTGAAATTTTAACTTCTTCGTTATTATCGATTACCTCGGTCAATGAACCACCTTGCATGTATTCCATAATTACCCACAAATCATTTTCTCCACGAAGATGTGCATCCAAGAAGTTGACTATATTTCTATGTTGTGAATCCTTCATCACCAAGATTTCATTGACAAGTGATTCCTTGGAAGGCTGAACATTGAGATCCATTTGTTTAATGGCAACTTTCAGATTTGTAGAAGTATTTTCTGCCAAATAAACGGCACCAGAGGCACCTTGACCAGCCTTCTCAATGATCTTATAGTAGGGGGCAGGGTCCCTTGGGTTGACAATACTTCTAAGGTGAGAAACTACTTGCAAGTCCTTCAACTTTTCTCTTTCCTTTTGAAGCTGCTTGGCAGTTTTTGGAGGTGGTACACCCTTGATTTTACCAAGTGGTTTAGCCTCCGGCAGATCTTCCAAAGATAATTTGTTTAATTCGTTCTGCGCCTGTTTTTGTTGATGCACTTGAACCTGTGCTTGCTGCAAAAGATTTGGAGACAGCTGACTGTGTGGATGAGGTGTAACCTTTAATTGATGACTTGCATTTGAATTAAAATTGGTTTTCATAGGTGAATGTGGTTGAGATTGAGAGATTTTAAATGTATTTGAAATGTTGTAACCACTTTGTTGCGTTCCCTTTGGAACATAACTATAGTTTGGTCCTCCTGCCGGTGCACTATGTGGAGGGGTATTGTATATCCCATTAAATGGACTGGTCGAAGAAGCCGAGCGAGGAGGTGGACTTGGATGAATACCAGGCCCCCCACTTGGGTAGTTACTGACAGTTGCACTAGGCGGAGGAGTAGGATAATGGCTATGAAAATTGGAATTCAATTTCAATTGATGCTGTGGTGGTATTGATGGAGGTTTCAGTTGAGGTTTCAGTTGAGGACGAGCAACCCCTCCACTAAATGGTACATTATTACTGGCGTTCTTGAAGTTGTTAACACTTTTGTAGATATTGCTACTTTTTATAGTACTTGATGGGATCGGTGGTGCTCTTCTAACTGGAACTAGATCAGGGGCCGATGAGCTTTTCAGAGAGTATAAACCTTCTTGTACTTCTGAATTTGAAATCTCTGCAACCTCGCGGTTACTATGCTTGGTACCTTTCTGAGGAACCTTTGTCCATTCCTCCAACCTGGCCGATCCAGAATTCACTGACGGCAGGTTAGCAGGAGAACCATTGAGATCCAGATAAAACTCTAACACCTCGATCACAGCTGCTGGATTTTTCTGCCAGTCTTCATTGGTAATTTTTGAATGCAGAAGCATACTCTTCCATGTTTCAGGTAATCCAGTGAAGTTCCCACTGGCAGGGTCAAAACCGACATGAACTTTATGTGTAAAATTTATCGGGTTAGAAACTCCAGCTACGCTATTACTTCCTATGTTTATTAGCGGGCACTTAGCAGTGAATGCATCTACCCAATCCAAAAAGTCACTATGTTGTTTGACCAGGATCAAAATCGTCTTCCCCCCTGCCTTGGGCACTATTTCCAAGGTATGAGATTGCTTCGTGTTTCCCGAGTTGGGCTTCAAGTTTATAGCGCCAATCTGGTTCAATGGATACAAGAAATCTGGAGTAGTATCTCCAGTGGCTACCTGATTATCAATCTGAGCATTAGCATGATGAATGTGTTGAACTGGTTCATTCTTGTAGAAATTAATACTCTGGTTGCTTAGCACCACGAATCTTCTACTCCAACGCAACGACGTAAAGATCCCATCGTCTTTGACATGGACCCACCCTTTTTGCTTCTTATTTCTCATTGAGCCTACATCTATAACAGTACTGTTACCAGAAGGTACGCCAGTACTTGAGCTCAAGAGAGCTGCATTACTATACCTATTCCCAGATACCAGACCCAGACTCTGACCCATACCCAGCCCCAGCCCCAGCCCCAAAGATCCACCCTCAGTAGCACTCCGATTTGCCGGAGGAGGGGGCGCCTTTCTTATATGCTTTAAATCGGACTTGTATACCGATGTCATGACTTCCTATATATACAAGCGTGCAATTTTTACAGACACCCAAGAGACCTAATGTGGCAAAATGTGCTTTTCTTTGACAATGGCGCAGAATAGTTTATCTTTGTACTAACCCTCTTTGACGATTACTCTCTCTAAGGCTCAAAAATATCTTCTTCTTTACCACTTAAATCCAATTACTTCTTGGACTCCCTAGTCTTACTCCTACGCTATATATGCAATAGAGATATCTTTATTTATAAAACTACTCTATGCTAAATGAAGTGCCTTACTGTTCTGGCTATTTTATTTTTCATTTTCCACTTGATCTCTAGCTCATTGACCATTTGGGCGAAATTTTGCGCGTATGTTGCACTGCACAGATTTGGAAAAATGGATTGGTGCGGCGGGCTAATGCAACCACGCGTTTGGGGCCATGATGTCGGTGATGTAGATAATGTCGGTGATGTCAGCTGGATTCGAAGTGGATCTTCTAGTACTCGAGGGTTCAAGTGTGTTTTTCAAACTGGTCTAGAATAGGACTATTAGACTATAATTCTCGAATCAAATCTCCACTTCGTCAGGTTGCAGGGGAAAGTTCGAGAGCGTTTCTCGAATCAAGTCGATTTGAACAATATAGTGAAATATAGTTCAAACTGTCTCGAATCAAGTCTCCATATCATCAGGCTGCTGCTGGCGAGGCTGCTTCTTCCATTCTAATAACGGGGCCAATTCTTCAATAGAGCCCAGTTTATGTTGAATGAAAGAATGCTGCAACAATTCATCAGTCAGAGCCCTGTACCTAACATCTACACAGAGACAAATACTTAAAAACTTCTTAATGGAATTCGAAAGCACTTCAGGCTTCTTTAATTTCGGTGTTCCATTCGTAGCAATCAAGTAAAGAGCTTTCAATGGCTCTTCGTTCAAGTACGGTGGTTCTCCTTCAATCATTTCAATCGTCATGATTCCAAGAGACCAAACATCAACCTTATCATCATACTCCTTTTGTTTGACCACTTCTGGTGCCATCCAGTATGGAGTTCCCACCATCGTTGCTCTTTTATTTCTCTGATCTGTAAGCTTGGCACAAAATCCAAAATCTGTAATCTTCACATTACCCTTAGCGTCAAGCAAAACATTATCTGATTTAATATCTCTATGGATAATATGCTTTTTGTGCAAATGCTGCAAACCTTTCAATGTTTCAAAGCAAATTGTTGAAATTTGCTTTTCACTAAGCTTAAATTCGTTATTTTCAATAACTTCTGTTAATGATCCACCTTCCATATATTCCATGATAACCCATAAATCTGAATTTCCACGAAGGTATGAGTCCAAAAAGTTTACAATATTTTTATGCTGAGAGTCTTTCATAACTAAAATTTCGTTAATAATAAGTTCCTTTCTTGGTTGCACGTTGAGATCCATCTGCTTGATAGCAACCTTGTCACCACCAGTGGCAAGTGATTCTGCCAAGTAAACAGCTCCGGAGGCACCCTGACCAGCCTTCTCAATAATTTTAAAAAGTGGCGTTGGGTCCTTATTATTAACAACAGTTTTTAACTTAGCAATGACTTGCATTTCCGTAAGCTTCTCACGCTCGCGCTTTAATTGCTTTGCAGTTTTCTGAACTGGTTGGCCCTGGCCTTGAGAATGTACTTGGCCCTGTTTAAGATCATGCTGTGAATTTTGGTGCTGATGCAGAGGCTGGAAAGTACCTGGAGTAGGTTGATTGAATTGCTTTTGTTGCTGTTGAGTTTTCTGTGCTTGCGACAGTTTTTGAGGTTGGTAGTGCTTGGGCTGTTGGATATGATGTGGTGCATTACCGTCACTTCCTACTTGCAAAATCAGTGGTTGAGAGTGCAGTTGCTGAGGTACCGGCCTAGGTTGCAAAGGTTTGATTGACTGTTGAGATGGGGATGAAGAATTTGGTATAACATTAAGTCCAGATTTTGGAGAATATTGATGTGCTGGTGATTGCTGTGAGTGTAATTGCAGTTGCAGTTGCAGTTGCAGTTGAGACTGTTGGGCGCTCTTCAATCCAAATGGTTTAATGTAGCTTGGCCCACCAACTGGCGCACTAGCTGGTCCATTACCTTGAGGATACTTGCCATTACTAGGGAAGTTGGTGTTAACCTTGAGATCAGGCAGTTGCAGCAGAGCATGAGGCAGAACTTGCTGGGAAGGCAGTTGAGATTGAGGTTGAGACTTTGGAATCAACGGAGGCTGCAGCTGTGGCTTAGCACTTGATTTATATAATGAAGAACTGGAAGATTGATTTGCTTGCTGCTGTCCTTGCAGCAGTTTATTATTGAACTGGGGTGGAGGGGGAGCCTTTCTCACAGGGATTAGATCTGGATTCAGTCCATTACTACTCAAATCTCCATTCAAAATGTTGCTGTTGTCACTACTATCCTCATCTTTGCTATTCTTCATCAAATTTTGCAATGGAGAAACATTGGATGAGCTTTTTTGATGAGACATATGATATGGAATTGGAGGTTTTGGCGCAGCTCTACTCGGTTTAAACCCAGAGCCAGATGCAGATGCAGAGTTAGTATTAAGGTTGCTACCTGTACCGGTAGTGGTTGTTTGTGCCTTGGGGTGCTTGGTCCATTCCTGCAATGTTGCACTTGCATTAATTCCAGGCAGGTTCACAGGTGTATTACCCCCGTTAATATCCAGATAAAATTCCAAAACTTCAATAACAGCTACTGGATCTTTCTTCCAATCCTCATTTGTAATCTTGGAATGCTGTAACAAATTCTTCCATGTGTCAGGCAATCCAGTGAAATTCCCACTGGCTGGGTCAAATCCGACATGAACCTTGTGGGTGAAATTTATAGGACTGGAAACACCAGCAATGTTAGTAGAGCCGTTACCAATTGCGCTGCCGATATTTACTAGAGGGCACTTTGCGGTGAATGCATCTACCCAGTCCAAATAGTCATTATGGTGTTTGATCAGAATCAATATCGACTTTCCATTGTTTTTTGGTAAGATTTCCAAAGTATGCGATTGCTTAGTGTTCCCCGTGTTTGGTTTCAATTGAATAGAGCCCACTTGATTTAACGGGAATGATAAATCTGGAGAATTAGCAGCTGCTGTTTGACTGTCTATATGGATATTTGCGTGAAGTATTGGTTCATTCTTGTAGAAATTTAAAGTCTTATCGTTAATGACCATGAACCTTTTATTCCAGCGAAATGAAGTGAAAATCCCGTCATCCTTGACATGGACCCAACCCGATTGGCGTTTACTGGATCCCAATCTGATAGACGAACCAGCTGTCCCACTATTGATATTGTTTTTTGAGATGTTGCTACTACCACTGCTACTATTATTATCAATGGACATGTTACTAAGATTGCTATCGAGTGATGTGTTGTTATTGATGTTGGCAGAGGGTTGGTTTAAGCTTGTGCTGGACCCATTTACTGAAGAAGACAGCTCAGCCATCGGGCCTAGGATTGGGGCAGACACTCCATTGCTATGAAGATGGTGATGAATATCTTCAGATCCAATCCCTGGGATACTCGTACTGTGACCTGAACCTGAAGGTGGTGGTGGAGCCTTTCTATAATGCTTGATATCGGAGGTATAAACGTTCATTGTGTGTTGCTATCACCAATCAGAGAAAACGAGGAACTTGGTGCCAATGTATATGGTAAGTCGATGCAATCTGAAGTGTGAATCTCGTTTAGAGCGCTTCAAGCTTGTCTTTCAGTCGTTACTCCGGATTATTATAAGAATCTCTTTTTTGAAAACTTTAACACGCGTTGTACACACAAAAAAGATAACCTACTAACCTTAATGCCAAAAAATAAATAAATGAACTACTACAACTAGTGAAGGAGTGTGTGAATCTTGCAAGAGTCAAGAGAGAGTGTCTGTGTGTGCATTCGCTTGACGAAAGCGTGTCCCTTTTTCTTTTTTGTCTCAATCCGAAAAAAAAATAAAAAATAAAAAATCAAAACATACGCACTAATTAAAAGGGGAAATGTAAGTTGCAGAGAGAGTTAGGCGTGTAGGGCTGGACAGGGGCAAGTGTGAAAAGGAAAAAAAAAAAAATGAAAGAAAAATATCTGGCAGACTTTAGACATGTCTGCTACAGCGCAGCGACGTTGAAACAGGCCATTTAGCCAACTTGTGTGGTATATATTCACACATCTTTGGTTTCTACTTCCTCCCTTCTTCATGTTCCATTCGTGCTGCATATTTGATTAATATACTCCCTTCCTGTTTCGGGATGCGTCTTATATTTAAGCTATCACCCCTGAATCGCGCGTTTTTGTGCTTACCACCTTGCGTACGTAAATTAGCAGGACCCCATATTTCTGCAACTCCAGCACCCGTGGTGCACTCTAGCAGGGAAATCAAAAACTATGTAGAGAATTGCTTTGAAATTTGCAAGATACCAGAAGGCGACACCCCAGTCCACCGTGCACCCAGCAGCACCGTACGAAATTCCTTCTGGTCTCCAGGGGAGCAAGCAAGGAGGAGAAAATCTGTCACATGCTGCCCCATACAAAAATAGCGAATCATGAAAAAAAAAATACTTTCGGTTACAGGGTTTATGCATGAAAGTGGGTTCGTAGTTAATTACCGTTCTGCGGGAAGTGAGTGTCAAGGGTCCAGTCAAGGTAACAAAGAAAATAGAAAATATGAGGCAGGCGTTAAAGAGTTAGCAGCAAGACGAAATTCCCAGGTTGGTACAATTTTAGATTCGTATTATTTGCATCGTGCATAATGAGCAAATACGAATTGTTATCTGCTTAGTAGCAGCGCCTAAGCCGTCCATTTCTACTTCTGCAAGCAATACGCTTAGTATAGGCTATAAAACGGTCCCACAGCAATTATTCATAATAGAGCAAAAAACTAACAAGGAAGTTGAATTCTTCTAATGACACCTCACGAACCCAACTAGACACCTAGAATCGACATAAATTTTCTTCAAACTTCCGAACCAAATGTTCAGCACTTTTCGCTTACCCTTGTCTTGTTCTTTATCTTCCCATCTTCCTGCATACACCTCCATGTAATTTTCTTTTTTTCCTTCTTCTTCTTGCTCCAACTGAAAGAAGCCATGAAACATTCACTACATCAACAGTAACGTTCCCTGCATGAAGCCCTCCGCAGATTTTGTCACACTTCAACCTCTGCGAGCAAACTCTCCCATATCCTGTAGATTGTTCCAGCGCTTTCTTTTTTCACACTTCAGATGACCCTACTTTTGCTCCGCTACAAGTTGCAATGACAATAGCCTATACTGATGCTATATGCACTCCACCACCCCAATTTGCAATCCTATGTCACAAGACAACTGTGTACAGGACCACTTGCATCATTTAAGTTATGCATTATTAATCACAGAGCAAAAAAGCGAGAAAACCGGTAGAAGGTATAAAAGAGATCGAGTTAGAGCAAGACTTACGAGGTTATTAGAGAATATTTATTAGAAAATCACCTAGGCAAGCAGTTCTTCTCATACAAGGGTGATGCCGTTATTTAGATCTTCATCCAAGAAGAAAGAGGCGTCTGTTTCGCCTCCTGTGGTGGGCAGGCCTGTCTCACGATCGAATTCGCTTAAGTCTAGCAATTCGACTACATCTATGCAAAGTATACCGCAAATTGTGACAAATGGACACAGTAATGGTGGTAATGTGAGTGGAAACACCTCACCTACGACTCCTACTGGATCGAAGCTCAGATCATTCCTCAAGTCAAGTCCGAAAGTATCGGCGTCAACCCCAGACTTAGGTAAGAAGAGTGAGGCAAATTACGCTGAATTGGACCTGGTTCTTGATGTAGACTCCCTTCGTATAAGTAATGGTAATGGCAATGGTTTTGGTGGAAAAAAGGAGAAGAGAATCAGTACCATTGTTGAAACAGAAGGAGACGAGAATGGAGAAGGTGGTTCGGATTTTGATGACGAAAACTATGACGATGAATCTGACGACGGCGACGACGATGACGATGACTCTGAATCCGACTCTGATTATGAGGAACACCTTCACATAATAAAACCCAAGGGTAAAGCAATTTCAGGAAGTATGCATCTTTTGGCACTGCAGATCAAAGCATACTGTGGAATCACAAACCCATCAAAATTGACCGAAGTAGCCAACGAGGAACTGAAAAGGACTTTTTCATTACTTGATGACAAGCTTAAAATTTATAAAGTAAGCTCAACCACGAACAGAAATGATCCTAGATTGAAGGAACCTGTTATTAGCGAAATTCAAGTGGAGCTGCTTCAACAGCTCACACAGAAGATAGACGACCTATTCGCCTTGAAAGGAGATAGAAAGGCTCAGTTGGAGTTGGCCTCCAAGGGGAAAACCTTATTTGATAGGTATGGTTGTGTTAAGAATGTTATAGGTAGAGGGGCTTATGGATTAATTAAAATTATTGAACCACAAGAAACTGCAGTAAAGGGTAGATCCGGCTCGATTACTGCAAACGACAATACCTTCGTTCTTAACAACAAATACTTTGCCGTGAAAGAGTTGCACCGTAGAGGTACAGAAAAAGATCCAGAACCTCAACAAAATTTCATTGAAAGGGTGCTTTCGGAATTTATGATATCATCGACTTTGAACTACAAGCATATTGTTAAAACTGTAGATTTAATGGTCTCATTACCTGCATTAGGAGAAGCAGCAGTTGGCGAATGCAATAGGCTAAAAATTAATCAGGTCATGGAGTGTACAGCCGGTGGAGATCTTTTCACTTACATGACTACTATGAAAGACAAATTTAACAAGCCAATACTGTACATGGGATTAGATGAATTAGATTGTTTCATTAAACAGATATCCAAGGGATTATGGTATATGCATCAACACGGAGTTTCTCATTGTGATTTGAAATTAGAGAATATCTTAATAAGTTATGCACCATCACACACTGGAAAGTATGAATCAATTTCACCACATCAGAGTCATGCCAAGATAATATTGAAGTTATCTGATTTCGGAAAATCAAATGTTTTCAGGACGAAGTGGGATAAGGCCGACCAGATTACTCCTTTCAGCACCGGTCCAATAGGATCAGAACCATACCTTGCACCTGAAGAATTTGGTAACTTAAATTGCAATGGGGTCGGTGGTTCACTGAAAATTGGATTTTCATCCCCAAACAAGGATAATTGGGCTTTGGGTATCATAATATTGGTTTTATTTAACATAAAAAAGAACTACTATTACTTTAAGTCTGGAGCCCAACAAAGTAAGAATGGAGATGTTAGTGCTAGCTCAGCTGACCTCAACAATCTTGCTCTTTCATCCGAATATTCAAGCGGTTACTTGTGGCATTCGACTGAGCCAAAGCGTCATCACCTCCGTAAGGATAAGAAATTTAAAGATAAAAATTTTGATGAATACATTATTAAAAGGATGAAAGCCGATTATGAATGCAAATCCAAGGAATGGGTTGTTCATAGGAAGGGCACTTATAAACCAATAGAGACTTTATTTGATGCTCCAAGGTTTGCTGATGACGATGAAGATGATTATGACAGTCACCATAATGTAGATTTTTCAGGTCTTATAAACGGAGATCCAAAGTCAAGGAGCCCCACGAGAGCCAATGGGAACTCAAACGGTTATTTGGAAGAAGAGGAAATGGATCAAGATGAAAAAGATCTTTGTGAACTTCGTAAGATGTTTATATATAAATTGTTGGACCCAGATCCTGATACCAGATTAACTGTTGAACAATTTTTGAAGAGCGATTGGATGAGAGGAGTTGAGACTTGCGTTTGATGGAAACCATCACGAGATAACGAATGTAATCATATATACTGTATAATAGACAATAGACATTAGAAATATAATAGCTTGTAAGTTCTACAATATTCCTCTTTTATTTAGTGAATTCACTATAAAGTCTATATACTGAGAAATATTATTGTAAGCACAAGGATGCAAAATGAAAAAGACACCAAATAATGACTATGATACAGAATGCAAATATGGAAGGGGATAGTATATGTTTATGAGCTGTAGTTGAAATTATCCCGGAGACAGCTAGAGAACTTTGAGGCCTTAAGAGGCACACCATCGAGAACTTGTGTAATAGTTGAAAAGTTGTTTTAGTAGTACCCCAGCCAAATTAAATGACAGTGTGTTGCAACTCCTATTAAGAAAGGTCAGCCAAAATAAAAAATGCTCAAGGTAAAACTCGTTTTCATGATCAAAAGTCCGAAAACATCCCACCATATGGATCGTTTATTCCGCTGATACCATAATCCAAATCCTTATCTTCTGGATATCTGTCAAACTGGGAGGTATCTCCTACACCACTGGTGATTGGAGGCTCGTAAGGAGTCTCAATGTCTCTGGAAAGTAATCTCTCCCAGATAACCTCCTTGAACCACAAGTGATTCTTCACATCGTCAGATCCTCCTTGTAAGTTACCCAATCTCTTTGACAAGTCTTTGACAATCAACTTTTGCAATAAATCCAACACGTCGGGTGGTAAGTAATCAGGGTATGTTATGGTCCCGTTTAATATATTCTCGTATGTTTTCATTGGTGTTGGGTCATAGAAGGGAGTGTAACCAGTGAGCATTTCAAATATTAATATTCCGAATGACCACCAATCCACAGATTTGTTGTAAGGCTTGGTAGCCACTACTTCCGGTGCGATATAGTCAGGAGTACCACACAATGTATACGTGACATCCACCACTTCTTTTGCAAACCCAAAATCAGTTAATTTGATGTGCCCATTCTTGTCTAGCAAGATATTTTCAGGCTTCAAATCACGATAGATAATATCCAAATTGTGGAGGTATTCTATAGCCAAAAACACTTCAGCTGCATAGAATTTCGCTACAGGGGTTGGGAACCTTTGTGATTTCCTCAAAAGAGAGAACAACTCTCCCCCTTCTATATAATCCATAATCATGAACAAGTTTCTACAGTCTTGGAAAGTTCCCCACATCCTGATGATGAAAGGATGTTGTGCAAGCTTAAGCATTCTTCTTTCATCGTTAGTGTGCTCCACCTGCTTCATGTTGACCACACGCTCCTTTTTCAAAGTTTTCATTGCGTAAAACCGACCGTTGTGGATAGACCTGGCGAGATGCACACGGCCGAACGACCCAGTACCCAAAGTTCTCAATATTTGGAAATCGTTCAAGGTGTATTTGCCCTTGGTTGTTGTGTCTCGCTTAGAATGACGCAGCAACAGTGCCAGCAGCTGCTTTGACGAGAGGTGGCCACCCAGGCTCTGCGGGTCGCTCAAACTCTGTGCCTGGCTAGAAGTATTATTGTCATTATTTTGTTGTGTTTCGCTCAGGTTCTGATTATCTCCCAGTCTAGAGTTCTGATTGCTATTATTCGAAGTTGCCTGCTGGCTTGTCTGGCTCATTTTACTATCGATGCCTTCATCCATGTAATCTGGCTGTGGTACAAATATATTCTGTTGCTGTTGCCTCTTAGCCAACTCCTCAAGGTTTATATCGTTCAACGATCTGATGCTGGTTTCATTATTTTCCATAGATGTCATTCTTAAACTCGTGTGATTCACCTTTAGATCGTCTTCCTTTTGCCTTCTTTCTATATTCTTTTACTGCTTGTAACCGAGTCCCAGTTAATCAAGTTCAGTATTTTTTTTTTCCTTTTGGCTTTTTTATTTTTTTTTCCGTCTCAGTCCTTCAAGAAAAAGAAATCACCTGAAAGCCGTTGATCTATTATGTAAGCAAGGTAGATAAAGGGGATCGGAGGGTCGTTAGATGGATCTCTGGAGGTTGGTGCTTTACTAAATACACCTTGATTATCGCAAGGAGTTTCAACTAAAACTGAACTTTTGGAGTTTAGAAAAAGCTTACAAGTAAAAGATGGATGGAATTTGTGTTCGAGTTTTCCATTTACCAGTTACGGACGTTTTTTTTCCCTTTGTTCAAAGCGAAAAAAAAAAAGAAATAAGGATAATTTGGATTTATTTTTGGTTTTAAGCACTGCATACTGCAGGCTTTGGAAAAAGACGTTGAGTGCCCTGTACCTCAGCTAGATAAAAGAAGTATGCTGCAGCACATCATCTCATTGGTACACAGGATACTTGCTAGGGAGAAAAGGGACTGGAGATGATGGCTTGTCGCCTTGGGTGAAGGGGAAAAATAGGGCTATTCTGATGCAATCTTACATGTTCGTAGAGTTCTTGCTTGGCTTGTTGATTGCTAGCCATTAGCTGCTGCTACTGTTAGTGTTACTTCACATGCTCGCACTATCTCTCACTCTCATTCCCACCCACACTCTCTGGCCCAGTCCGCGCTCATTTCGCTATTCGCCATTTTCTTCGGATCACACTCCCTAATTATTTACCTACACCAACCAGATGCTCATGCACCAGACTCACTTCCATTTCCAATGGTAGTTAAGTCGTTCAGTGACATCAGTTTATTTTTTTTTTTAAACAGTTTTTAGTTACATTTCAGATTATTTTCTACTACTCGGTCTACTGTTTGCTTTCAGCAACCGAATCGAGATCCTCACCCAGCAATTATTTGGTTCTCGTACAAATGTGTCACTGCCCTTTGCATGCACCCTTCCTATTTCAGATACACCCGTTTCACTCTATCTTTTTATTCCAAGCTCTGCTCCTATACTGTTCCGATTTTCCGCACAGATGGCCGTTTGAGCCAGCTGTAACCAAGCTAGCCAACCTAACCTTAAGAATAGCAAATTGTAAATCGCCTTCTACAATAGTCGTTTTCTTGTCTCCTTTCTCTTCCACTTTCCCTTTGTTTAATTTTTTATTTTTTATTTTTTTCTCATGAAGATGTTTATGCATCTCAGGCGATGACGTGAAAGCGACGTCAGCATCGGCTATATAAAGTTGAACACCAAACGAGCAGTATTAAATTTTCTACTGTATTGAAACATCGCCGTGTGTTTTCATCAACAGATTTAAATTGCTTTTTCATTATAACGATTCGACGAGCATGAAATCCTTTAACGATCACCTAAGCTGCATTTGGTGTATGTAAACAGTGCAGCTCCTAGCTGAGGTTGAGCAGCATCGCCTCAAGCTGCAAATTCGAATGAAAGTAGATAAACTTGATTCTACGTAGATCTTACTAAAACGTTATTTTTATTTTTTTTTGCTATAAAAAGTAGTAAAATAGTTCATGTATTGACAAGGGGTATCACCTCACCCAGTACTCATCAAACTCCTCTACCCCTTCCATGTCACTGTCATTATTTTCCATCGTGTCTACGTACTCTTGTTCAGAATCAGTCTCATATCCATATCCCTCTCCACCCCGATTCACATCAGGTCTTACTGTCCTTTGAGAGCCGGGTTTTGCTTCACTCTCTTTCTTACTTGTGCTGCTATCCCTTCTCCTTGTCTCAAGTCTCTTACCACCAGTCAACTCCAATATTTGATTCTTAGCACTTCTGGCTTTCTCAAGCAAATCATTACCCATAATTGAATCAAACCTTTCACTTCCTTTAAACTTAGAATGTCCACCATTCAATCTTTTAACAAGATGATCAAGAACTGTAAGAAAGCCAAATCCTCTCAAAAACATCGCTCTATTCGAAGCTGATGTAAACAAGTCGTAATCTTTCTTCCCCTCTTCAAGAATACTATCTTGCTCTGCATTTTCATCTTCGTCATTTACCCCATTGTTCTCATCGTCGTCATCGTCATCTTCATCATCATCCTCGCTATCAATATCAATTCTGTCGTTAACTCTTCCAATCAGTATAGTATCATAAATTTTAAACTGAACACTATCTGTACGTCTACTTCCGAAAATTTCATTCTTCCAGGTTAAATTTATAATAATCCAGCAAATTGATACCTGAATTAAACTCAAATTATTGTTCATGTTCACAACAACGTTAATATCCAAGTCTTGTTCAAAATCCTTGGGTATATTTAGACTCAAAAACTTTAGCCAAAGGTGGAATATCTTTTCTCTATTTCTAAGGTTCTCCTTGAAATTTTCAATGTTGGTGTATTTATGATCCTCGATATAGTTAATTGCAAGTAAAAGTGATGTGTACGATTCATTCTTACAGAGTTCCATGAGCGTGAAATCATCATCGATGTCATAGCCTGACTCTAGTCCGTAAATCTCTAAACCTTGCGATAAGTTCTTATACAAGAATGAGTACCAACCAATATGTGCAAATCCAGCCCTTTGCTTCTTCCAATCCGAATACTCCTTTTGAATTCGCTGACAAAAATATTGAGAGCCTGATGTCAAATTTCTCAAAACATCAAAGGAATGAACCTTCTGCTGCAACCTAAGTTCTTTTACTGTATCATCTAAGCTGAGTATTTCATCATCATCTATCCCTAGCCCATATGCAATTTTCTCAAATATGCACTCAAATTTGTATAGCTCCATTAATTTTGCTTTGTTTTCATCGTTTTCGTTGAACGTGTAATTTTGTAAGACCTGTAAAATGTTATATTGTATGGTGTTTGCTTCTAACTGAACCTCTTCTCTACTTTTGTATTCATCAATCTTGTGTGGCTTCAGAGAATTTTTAAATATCTTGATTAAGATATCCAAAACCTCCTCATTGCGGATAATGTTGAATCTCAACGAGCTGAAGTCAAGAACTAAATTGGCTAATATTTTTAACAAAATGGACTTATTCGAAATCATCGTTCTTGATATGGTCACAATCGAATCTGTGTAACTTACAGAATCGTTGTAGTAATTTAATATTAGGGAACAATTTTCAATTCCTTTTAATATGTGAAGTAGATTATCAGTGAAGCCACCCTCTGTCGAGTTTCTCTCGAATGAATTAGCAGAAGGAACTGCTGATATTATATTCAGAGTAGTCGTTGATCCAGAAACAGAACCAGAGCTTGCAATTTTTCTATCAACTTTCTTAAAGCTAGAAGGGTAAGAATTACATTTAACGAAGAAAGTCCTTAGCAATGCTACGCTCCTGGATAACGATCTGATCAAGTAAAGTGTGTTGGTGTATATCAGGTCATTTAACAAACTAGTCATTATGCTGAGTAACTTTCCGAGGAGCTGCAAATCAGCAACAGTGTTTTTACCATGGCGAATTTTCATATGGATCATCTGGATTTGACTTAGAAGAAATCGATAATTATCGATAATTTCGAAGATGATTATTGAAACACAACGTTTATAATTATCACCATTATTCTTTCCTGTAGCCACTATCCTGCTCCTATATTCTTCTTTTTTACTACAATAAACACTCAACAAAAGCATCAAATCTGGCAAGTTCGTAATCCCCTTATCATCAAACAGTAACCCTCCGCCTCCACTAGCCAATTTTCCAAAATCCACAATCTTTTGGCTTCCCATACTCAGCTTCTTTAACGTTTTGAATAATTTAATTTGTGGACTAGTTTCGAAAAGACTTTCCAATATTCCAATTAACTTAATTTCTAAATTACCTCTTCTTAAATCGTTGTTCATCAATGGATAATTTGTACACAATTGAGCTAATATTTTACAAGGTGACAACAATAAGAGCGGAATAACTGCCCTGTCATTGGCTTCATCGGTAGATATTAGCTCATTGATTCTGGGGAACAATTTCTGATAATTTTTGAAAACAAGTTCCAAGGGTAATTTGTTTTCTATAGTTAAGTTGTTCAAAAAAAAGTAAATCAAGTTTAGGGTAACTAAATTTAGTTTGATGTTCTCATATTTGAGCAAGAGCAAAAGCGATAAGTATACCTTAGGAGGAAGTATTCCGATTGAATTTTCAGTTTGTTCAGTACCAGAAATGTTGAAATTGGATTCTTTCAAGAAGGAGAATATTTGAGCAATGCAGCAGATCAAACCAAGAAGAGTTTCAATTTGAATATTTTTCTTGAAGTATTCAATACTTGGTTCAATATTGGGTAAATTTGGATCATTAAATGTCGCTAAGTCTAATTTAGCTTCATCGGGGTCCTTCATTTGCTCGCCTGGAAAGTGACAGGAATATATCTTATCGCACTCCCTTCCCAATCGGCCAATGAGAACCGATAATAAGGTTACAATTCTAACACTATCATCGTCGGCGCCATCCATCAGGACGTTGAAATTAAACTCATCCCTAGCATCCTTAGACTCTGTATCGAACAACAATAAGGGAACTAATTTTAACAGCTTAAGAAAGAGCGCCTCATCTTCTACAATATTGTTCAATTCATTAACATTACTGGTAGTGTTGCCATTGGCATTGTCATTAGGTATGATCACACTAAGGGTGGTAACCCATCTCCACAACACCTTACTAACCTCTCCATTTAATCTACTACTGTATCTTCTGTGGCTTAACAATGCTAATAAAATGTCAAGCAAATCACTCGAAATTCTCTCGAACTTTTCAATCAAATCGACTTTCCACTTCCTGCCCCTTTGGTATACCAATGGCAAGACGATTTCCATGTAAAACTTGAAGTAGCTGGTGATCGAACCAATCGACGTTTGAAAGGAAGACAAGATCTGCGCATGCAGCGACTCTACTTCTTGACTAAATAAGCAAACCATTTTGATTATAACAGTTCGACTTTCCAAGTCATCCAATGATCGAATGAACTCTTCATCATTTTCATTCACCTGTACTGTGGATACGAGCGAAGACATCCCCATTTCGAACTCGGACTTCAATAGGGATAGTGTTTCCACATCTCGAAACAATTTGAACTTCAAATCTTTATTCCCAATAAGGCTAGCACGGAGCTCTGCAATGTTAGAGAGAGACATCATGTATACCATGTATTGAAAGGAACAAACAAAAGAAAGCAGATCAAAGTCATCCATTTAGTTGCTGGCCCTCTTGCGTTTTTGGTTTTCTCGGTGTGCGCATAGTCAAAATCTTATCGGCATCTTATCGGAGATCAAAAGTATGGGGTAAGGTAAAGCTACTTAGGGAAGGGACAGGAAATACCATATATTGCACTATAAACCAGCTAACTCTACACCTAAATCACAAGTTGAATAAATGATAAGAAAATACCTCAGGAAACGCACAGTTAAAGTGAAGACTTTAAGGAAGTAGTCTACTAATTTTTATAAGCTCATGCTCACGTTTTCACATTTTTCACATTTTCACGGTATGCACCCAGACCCTAGATCTTACCTCTCCAAAGCTTTTGGCTTTCCAGAGCTCCCTTTCCCTTTTTAATATCTTCACTGACTTTAGTGTCAGCGTCAACCCTCTTTGGAATGTACTCTAAGATCTGCTCTAGCTTGCTCTCATCTCCGACCTCTAACTTGACAATCCCGTTCTTATCGCCTACGATGAAGTCCCCTGGGTTTATTCCGATTATTTCGCTCTCATCGTCTCCCACTCTAACTTCTAAGGGCACATTTATACCTACAACCTTGACTACAGGTCCTGGAGCAGTGCTACCTACTCCATAGCTCCATACAGGGTGGCCCAACTCAATGTGCTCGTCCAAATCTCTAATACGACCTAAAACTACGGAACCGTTGGAGCCTCGATACTGGGCCCTCGTGGACATTAGCCCCCCATACAAAGCATTGTTCACAGTGACATAGGGAGCATTTGGCTTCTGGCAAGACAATGGCAATCCGATCACCAAAACACTGTCCTCGGGTATTTCATCGATATACGACTGTTTTACAGCTGGCCTGGGGTCGCTCTTGGGTGCATACAATACCGTATACGCTGGTCCGACCACGGACAGCACACCAGAAGCAACTTTAGAGCGAAGCACGAGGTTTGGCAAATATCCACCATTTGTGGATCCATATTTTACCAATGCGTCCAGGACATCACAGGGAGTGAACTTGGAGAGAATTGAGATGATTTCTTTGGTTTTAGGCATGTTTAATATGAAGTTAGGGTGAAGAAAACTTTTCTGCGCTAACTAAATTTCATTCCCCAGCTATACGCACCGATATGTGGGGGGCATACAAAACTGCATACTAAGCCTACCAGCAACTACTTAGGTGGTTGTGGGTGACATTAAGTATGTTTGGGACACTCTAAGCTGATTGTGAGTGATAATATGCCTACAACGCACTTAGGTGGCTTTAAGGTTTACTGAGCCATTTGAACACTCTTAGGTGGTTGGGAATGATTAAATGCCCCCTAGGAACACTCTCCTAGGTGATAATACGCTTACAGAGAAACTCAATTATATGGTTGTTATTTACATAGACTATTTACAAGTGCATCCCTTGACCTAGGACTTCCAACAGAGGAGAGCAACACCTCGAAGTTACAGATTTTTCATGGCCGAACACTCGCTCAGCTCAGCGAAATGCTCCTGCCACACTCCACAACATTCCACTTCATGTTCCGTTTGGCAGTCCTAGCGCTCAGTATCGATTCTCTTCTTCAACTCACTTTTTCTGGACCTCATCTATCTCAGTCTCGTCGTCCAACCCTAATCTATTCCTCAATTGCTTCAATCTCTCTGGATCTATTTCCTTGAGCTGTGCGCTCTCGTCACCGTCTTTGCCGTTAGCACCTGCAGTAGTCGAAGTCATTGGACTGCCCGAGACTGAAACTTCTCCACTGTTACTTGGGGCACTATTTTGAACCAAGACTTCCCCTTCTTTAGCTTCTTCTTTAATAATCAAGGTAGTGGTAGCCAACTTGAATCTTGTACCTAATTCCTTCAAAAAGTCCGGATGTAACTTATAATCTTCTAAAATTCTTTCCTCAGACACCCTAGGGTCTTTAAGATCGCTGAGTAGTCCTCCTAAACTTCTGGGATGGATCATAGTTCTGGAAGATTGTGACACACCGTTCATTTCATCTTCATTCTCTTTTTCTCCTCGTATGTACAAAGATTTACGGTTTCTAAGCTGTTTCAAGGCAGAGAATTCCTGATTAAGCCTTGGATCTACATAATGGGACTGTATTTGAGCACCTAACTTCATTACAGAATCGGAAAACTCTTGACTAATGTGAGGATCAAATCCGTCCTTCCCTTCGGGCATTTGCTCTTGCTCTTGCTGCTGCTGCTGCTGCTGCTGCTGCTTCTTTCCAATTTTTTTCGCTAACTTTGAAGTATCAAGCGCTGAGGAACCCCTGAATGAGGAAGAATTACTCAAAGGCAAATGGCTTTCTACATTGTTTGGATCATTGTGTTGAATATACTTCTCTTTCAATGATTCAGATGGGAGAGTGTTGACATTAGTCTTTCGATTTGCCAACAAAGCATCTCCGGCACCTTTTTGGATCGAGGATGCTAACTTTCTGCTTGGCTTCGAAGCTGAAGAGCCCATTTTAGAGATATTAGACTACAAATACCAAATACTAGAGTAGAAAGAAAGTAAGCCATCAGCAACCACCCAAAAATTGCAAACCTGCGATGTTCCATACACCAGTGTTTTATATGCAGGACATACACTGGCCAGTCAATGGCATCTCATTACTACGCTGGGGTGCACTAATACCATGCCTACGTCTCCGGCTTAGTACTATCTCGTCCTTATTTCACTGATGCCACCTTCATTATATACTACACTCATCTAGTATTATTCAAAAAATTAGTTTATTCCTTATGTATGTGATATTTTTCATGGTAGTTCATTTTGTTGGGAAGAACCATCAAAAACATTTCGATCAAACTTTTGATCAATGCTCTATATTTCTCAACTTGTTCCGCCTATTTCTTTTCTTTCTTCTCTTTCTTCTCTTTCCTTTCCTTCTTGTCTTTCTTGTCCTTCTTTTCCTTCTTGTCCTTCTTTTCTGTCTTGTCCTTTTTATCGGTTTTTTGCTTCTTAACTACCTTCCCTTCGTCATCTCTCTTTTCAGAAGCGACTATGCCATAATCTTCAGCTCCATACCCAGTAGGGAAGTGTCTCATACGCAAATCGTCTACTTTTTCTACATCCAATCTTGGCACTCTGGCGCCGTCAAAATCGATATCTGGAATATCAACACTCTCACGAATATTATAAAATCTCTGTACTGGCTCATCGTATGGAACATACGCACCACCCTTCTTGCTATTTAAAATAGCATACTTCTTGTTCTCACTTCCAGTGGAGAATAATTCTTCATTTATTTGGTAACTCTTGCTGGAAACCTTGAATTTACTTGGCCCATTGGCAATTGATGTCGATGTGAAAGAGATTGGCAAAGACTTAAGGTCTTTAAGGGGAAAATTTTTTGGTGCCTTAATGATCCATATTTCTTTATTTTCCAAAGATGCTGGCAAGCCCGATCCAGATCCCAATGACACTTTATTAAAATGTTTTGGAGGTTGGAAGCCGAGTTCTTCGGAATCTGAGCCTGAGTCTGAATCCGCCACGTATTTATCTGACTTATGAGACATACTAACACTTCTGATGCTTTCCAACTCCAGGATAGGTTTTTACCCTTTTTTTTTTAACTATGAAGCTTATGTCTTCTAATTTTTCATATAATATGCAGGAATACAGAGATGACCTTTTACCAAAAAAAAACTCAAAAATGTCATCCTGTATGTAGCATCATTGATCGGTCCTGTATATACTTCTTACAATTAGACTCCTGTAATCTCTGTAACCCCTGCACTAGTACCCTTGAGATTGCTTATCATTAAAAAATACGTCACGCCTTCTAGCACATATGGAAATTGTGCGCAGGACCACATAAAGAATGTGACTGAGCGCCGCTTGAGATGCTTAGGTCACTTTCTAATAAACCTTAAGGTATTAAATCTTAACTCTTCTACAATGGGTTTTTAAGCTTTCAGGTTACATCATTGGAAAAATTTAGTTTGACGATGCTTGCACTGCCTTGCCCAATTGCATAAACAAACTACATGGAGCGGCACAAGCAAAACTCCACAACCGCACAACCGCACAACCGCACGACTGCTTCTTTCACTGCCATTAAGTCACCGCCAATTTAACTGATTATTACCGAAGTTTATGAAAGAAACATGTCTAGCCTCGTGACCGGAGAGCCACCTTGCTCAAGCCCCGTCATCGAAAAATACGAATCCTTTGTTCAAAGGGGAAATTTAGTTGACACTCGCGATTTTGTATGCAGCCGTCCACTTAACTTTAAATGCGCTTACATAAGCGTACTTTAGAGCTTAAATATGTATATAAACACCAACCTTAACTTCCAAAAAGAAGTACATTTAGAAGGGTAATACACTTACTTAAGAACTTAACGGGGATTGAAAATACACTCAATCTATTCTAATTTATCACATTTTTATTTTTACTAAACTAATATTACTGCTTAATCATGTCGGGAGGATTCATTTCAGTCCGAGAAGGAGTAGCTGCTAGTATCTTTTTAGCAATCTACACTATTTATCTTGGTCTCACTGGGCTAATCGTTTACCGTGAAGGGTGGAGGACTACTTACACCTTCTTGTTAGTCTTTGGAATATTTCGTGTCTCGGGCCAGCTATGTGGTGTTGTTTTTTCGAAGCTTGGTATTGAACACTGGCAATGGCTTATTGCTTACTTGGTTCTTACTGCTGAAGGTTATTTCACTTTAGTTCTCACAAGCTTCCACTTCCTTGCCAATGCGCAGGTTACAGTTCATGGAACTTCATGGCTTAGACCAACAAAGAAAGAAATCCATGCTGCTCACGCGGGCGAAAGTAAGATGCAGATAAAGTGTGCGGAAATGAATACCTTCGCCTTTGTATTCCATTGGCTCTTAATTCCAGCCAACGCTTTGGTGATTTCCGGTGGAACTATGCTTACTGGTGTTGATGCTGACAAGTGGTCCCAAGAAGGCAAAAAGATTGCAACTTCTAAGGCTTTGAGATGTAGTGGTCAAGCAACGTTCTTAGCTGAAACAATTGTCTTAGTAGCTTTTGCCATTTACGTCTACAAATCGGAAAGGGTCAGAAATTATACAATGAAAGCTTTATTCTTTGCATTCCCATTTTTACTTGTTAGAGGTATCTTTGGTATTTTGTCCATTTTCTTAGATAGGATGAATTACTTCAAGATTTCTAATTACGATGAAAACGGGTTATCAGCCTACTTCATTGCATGCGAATACACTATGGCAACCACCATGGAATTCATTTCAGCTTGCACTTTGATTTCTGTTTACTATCATGACAGATACTATGGGAAATTCAGTAACAAGGAAAGGATTATTGAGCCGCTTACCGAAGAAGAAAGTGACTCGAAGGGAGTTTAAACTTCATTCAAGAGAATTTTCAATATATATGATCAAGAGAACGTTACTCGCCTATAAATATTAATATACTTATGCCTAATGATTTTATCTTGACTGTAGATTCATTTTGTACTTATGTGCCTCAACATTGGCCCATTTGACCCTTTTCTACAGAAGGCTTGTTTGTTAGATGTAGTAACTTTTTATTATATCTAGTTTTGAAGGAAAGATAACCTTTATATATATATATACGTACAGTCTAGCTGTAAACTAAATGAATGACTTATTAATTAATGAATGAATAGAATGTGGCAAAAGAGTTGCCATAATGAATGTGAGTATTAGTTGGGATCACGATAGTACGTATTGTGAAAGAATGACTGAATTAAATGCTAAATGAATGTGTGGGTTCTTATTTTCTTAAGAATTTAAGCACGAACGGCTCTCTTCAAGGTGTTAATAAACCTTGTGGATATGGTATTTTTGTTTGTTTCTGGGGAATAGTTGAGAGTTGCATCAACTTGAATCATCAATTGGATTTCATACCCGGTAGCGTTGTTTGGACAGATTGTACTAGAGTTAGTGACATTACCTTGGAAGAAGATTCCATATTGCTGCTTGTAAGATCTATCTGGACAGGCAACAAACTTATTGGAACCCTTGTAGGTGAGTAAAGATTTTTCAACTCCGAAGTCTTCGGAAGCATTGACTCCAGTTTTAGAAGTAATAAGTTGGTTTTTGCTGTTAACAATAACACTGGTAGTTGAAGCTAACGCAGTTGAGTTCGAAGTTGAGTTTGAAGATGAGTTAACATTGGCCTTGGGTAAGTTTAATGTGTAACCAGTACTTCCCTTGATACGACCGAAAAATGCGGCATCATCAGCATCCAAAACTAATTCAGTTCCATCGAACTTAACTAAGTTGTACTGGAAGATGGCTCCCTTGTGGTGAGCAATAAGTGAGAATACTGCTGATGTTGGCTGATAGATTCTCTTGTCCAATGGAGCTGCAAGCACAGTAGCTGCAAGAGTGTAGATAAGGAAAACGATACTTGTGAAAAATTTCATTGTGTGGATATATGCCAATGACTATAAATATCTGAAAACGGGAAGAAGAACTTTTTTAGGAAATTAGATGTTTTATATATTCCCATTCCCGGCGAAGTCTTGACCATTAGAGATGGGATAAATTTTCCACCTTCTGCTCATCATGCAGCAAATTAGTCCCAAAGCGGGTGGTATTGCTATTAATAAGTTAAGCCGCACGTCCTGACTTCCATACTTTCTTTGATTTAAACCGCATTCGGCTCATTTGGATCAAATGTTCCATGACATCAGTGAGCCTCGAATCAAAGCTCTCCGGAATACTTCAGCATAAACAGTGCTCTAAGTAAGACACAAACAAGGTATGATCAGCTATTGGGGGCCATCAGGACAATCATTGCAATCAATGGGTCTTACTTCTTGTATCCTATGTACTAATTTACCTTACTTTCGCTTCCCTAAAGACATGCTTCGGGCCCAATTTTTTTTTTTTTTTTTTTTCTTTTGTTTCCGTTTTTGCCTTAGAACCCCTTCCACCCTTACATTTCCCTACATATCCACACCTAAAATCCCCAAGAAAATAGGGATCAAAACCTTTCCAGTCATTTAACTGTTTCAAACACTTCATATGGGATTCCATGTGTTTAGATCTAAACGTGCTTTGGTAGATTTCATGTCCTAATCCAGAAAAGTTTCAGCTACATCATCTTGAAGAGATGAATCTCCGACAGACTCTTACATTCTCGATCATTAGAGTTTAATGTGACTTCGCAGGGCTCGTAACCAAGATATAGTGTTAGTGGTCCTGTGTATAAGTTTTATATAACAGCGTGCTCTTGCTCTAAACTATTGTAATAGTGTAGAATTTGGCAGTTTATTCCTAAAAGCGGAATAACTATTGCAAATGTGACCCTGAAGTTACTGTATAGAGAATACATACAGTAACTGCTGAATATGAAAGCGAAAATAGCAAGAATGGTAATGTAAACAACCACTTCCATGAAACGTTGTCTACTAGCATTGCCTCACAACGTGACCTATTAGAAAAATGCTGAGTTTCAAACACTGACTGTTTACCATCAGAGAATGGAATTGTTTTCACAGCGTCATGAAATTTACGCAATCCAGTAAATGAGGGAGAGTATGTTTGCATAACATTTCACTCTTGTAATGCTGCATTGTTTACCTTTACCATTGCTCCATAAGAACTGAATCCCTAGAGCTGTGCCTTGCATCTATAGTTAGGTGCTTTGGGTGCAAAATACGAGCCGCACGAAATCTACTATATACAGTGAAATATTTTTCGCTCAGTTTTCATTTATCTGGTGTGAAGTATAATAGTTACCAGTCAGAACGTCAGCAAATCCCGAGTGACGAGGCGAGTGAAAAAGGGTAGCACTTATTCGTTTAACCATTAATCGCCAAACTAGCATGAAGCTCCCCCCACTATTAACCCGCTCACCCCTCTCTGGTGCCCCCAATATTCTTCGATAAGGTCTAGCAGCTAGTAGCGAGCAAATCAATAGTAATAACGTGGTTATCTGATGACATAGTAGTCGTGGGGAGAACCCCATACCCGTTGCAATCCCCCCCAATCCTCTTTCAAACGCGCCATCTGTTAGCGCTCAGCTACCATTATCCCCCAATTCCCTTCCCCATACTAACTCTTAGGGCTGCAATCGTCTCCCCCCAACTAGCTGTCTTCCGTGGGGGCACCTTCACGTGGAGGATCAATTGGGGGACACCAAGACGGAGATATGAAAATATGAAAAGTTGAAAAATGCAGATCCACACATGAGACGAAGTCAAAGCTGCTCCCTCCGCAGGTAGCAATTGTTCAACATAGATTTCGTCTTCGTGGGTCTTATGGGCTTCACTTGCTTAATTCTTACACTCACTTTCTCTATCGATACTGTAATTTTCATTAAATTGTTCCACTTACTATAAACATACAAAATGTGGATCAACCAAAGAAAGACTTTTCTTTTCCCTCTGTCTTTGGTGAAGATTCTTTTTATGCCAAATTACATATATAAATAATATTACGTGCTAGTCTGTCTTCTGTCACACTGATCTTCTCTCATACTTACATTATCATCAACATCATAACCTATCACACACACACCACACACAGTCTCTTTATCTGCTTCAGAACATCTATAATGCAACAGCTGGAGGACAGTTTAAGGTCTTCTTTAAAGAACCGTAGATGGTGAATTGTAAGGAGGTTAAGGTACCGACCATAATCAATCTGGTTGGTAAACCAGCGAAAGAACCTCTGACACCTAATTGACCAGCTAATTGAGCTAATAAACCAACAGTAGATTGACCTGGAAGCTTCTTGGTCTTGTTGGCCTTAGATAACAAGGTATCAGCTGGTTGGGAAACGAAAGCAGCAGAACAACCAGCGATAACACCGGCACCCAAGTTGACAGCAGTGTTAGTAGCGTCAGATAATTCGTTCTTTGGGGTTGGGATGGCACCGTAGATGGCTTCAGCAGCTCTTTCGAAAACAAGGAACTTAGCAATGTTGTAAGGAATTTGCTTGAACAAAATTGGGATGAAACCGTTGTAGAATGAACCGACACCTTCTTCCTTCAAGATTCTAGAGAAACCACCGATTAAACCGTTAGCAAAGGTTGGTTGGGAAACCAATCTAATTCTGGTAGCTTCCAAAGGACATAAAGCGATATCAGCAAAGAATTCAGCTAAAGCAGAAGAACCAATGTAAATGGAGTTCTTGTATTGCCTAGCGGTATCTAAACCTAAGTATTCAATGAAAGTCTTCTTGAATAATTCGTAACCACCAAACTTGAAGGCACCTTGCATAGAGTAACCCAAGACGGTTGGTCCTAAACCGGTCAAAAGAGCACCAGCACCTTCGGAGGCAGTGATTTGTCTAACTGAACCGATTAAACCCCTGTTGTAAACAGTTGGTTCTAATTGGATTCTGGTCTTGACGACATCAATAGGAGTCATAGCTCCGTGGGTGGCACCACATCCAATGGCACCGGCAAGGGCGAATGAAGCGTAATCACCAACAGTGAATTGAGGTAAACCTGACATTATGAATAGTTAATTATTTGATTTATTATCTTTTTAGTATCCAAAAAGAAACACTGTTATCTATTTTTCTTTTCTAGAAAATTTTTCCACTACCAGCTTCTTGATCTTCATTGAGGAAGGATTTGCTCTTTTAAATTGTCGAATCGCGGTCGATTTCGGGGAATTTGTGCAGGAATCCCGGGAATGTTGACACATGATTGGTTGGTGAAGATCAATAGATGGGAGGATGGATGTGGCACGGGGGTAAGCTAAGAAAAAGAAATTCAAGAATGAAATAAGGAGAAAGGCATTGGTTGCAAATGTAAACAAGGCAGAATCTGAAGAGAGCTGAGCTGGAGCGAAGGGGAGGAAAGGAGGGGGGAGGGGGATGAGCGAACTGGTGGACTGGTGGGTTTTGAGGAACTTGAGCGGGTTCATGAGAAAATGAGTGAAGAGCAGGGCTGGAGAGGTGGTGGAGCTGGAGTTAGGGACTGGAACCAGGGGACTGGGAGCAGGAGACGGAGTTTATCGCTGATGGAAGAAGAATAGGCTTGCTGACGTCAGCTTTATCCGTTCCAAGACTGTGCGTATCTTAGCTTGGCCCGTATTGGCACTTACTTTTAAAGAGAGACGCACGAACATCTCTCTGCACGGATATGTACACTGGCTGGCGCTCGAGGATTTCTCGAACGGGTTGCGGATATGCAGTTAGGAGGGTTTTTTTTAATTTTTTTTTTTTTTTTCCTTCTATTTTTTTACTAACTTCTCTCATTGCTTCATTTCTTTTTATGCTGATTTCTTGTGTTCTACTCTGCTGCTCGTAAGGCTGCAAACTGGTGGTTGAATACGCTAACGGGCCTAGCTCAATGACAAAAATAAGTGCTAGCTCCGTGTTCTCCGTTACTCCCGTTCTTCCTTTCTACTGTGCGTTAATGTTTCTTCAGTTCCAAAGCTTTGCATCGCGATGATTCTTGCGCGCGATGCAAACTCTCCTAAACTACGACTTATGCTGCAGGCAGCTCGGGTGCTCCCTGAAGTTGGTCCTCTGCTTACTCGCTCTTTCTACGTACTACTACGTACTATCTACTACTTTTTTCTTTCTTCTTTCTTCTTTCGAAAGTGTTTATTACTTTCCTATAATGCTAGAATGTACTCCTTGGTGGAATTGGAGGGAGGTTTGGTAACCCATTTGGAGTGGGACTCTTTATTATGCGACTCGTTTTCTCCATGTTATCTCCGTTGTCGGTTCTTACCAGCAGTGCTGATGAAGGTGTCTCCGCCTTCGTGAATAGTGCCTCTAATGTCTCCTTGTTTCCCATGGCGGTCAATGCTGCATTCTGCGATGCAATCTTCTTGTTAATCGCTGATGCTCTTGCCAAAATCACATCGTCTACCATAATGGTAACCATATGCTCTTTGTTATGTTTAGAATACTTGTATATAGGTACCAACCCATGCTTTCCAAGTATTGAATGTAAGTTCTTCTTTGCAAATGTTGCCTTGGTGGACAGCTGAATGGAATCTTGGGTGTCTGCCGCTTCTCGTCCTGGTAGTGGAGGAGGTGCTCCATATTGATTAACCGCCGCTCTTTCACCTTTTTGATTTGTCGCAACTTGCTCAGTTGGGATCTCCTCTGGTTCAAAGCTTGGCTCGTATTCTTCCTCTCCTGTAGCCATTTCAGTGTCTCCATTGGTATGACCTTGTTGTACCACAACCTTTTCTTTCCTTTCATTCTCCTCCTTGATTAGAATTTCATCTAATAAGGACTTGTTGTTAAATGTCTCTTGTGCGGCCTTAATCTTACCATCTTCTGCACTTTTACTACTTGTACCAGTGCCTACCAACTGATCTCCGATCCTTACCTCAACAACAAAGATCAGATCAATCTCGATTACCTTGTAATTTATCTTGCTTCCAAATAAGTAATCTAATTCACTCTTGGCAAGACCTTCCAAAGGCTTCAGAAATAAGCCATTCGATTTTATGGTTTCATATATTTCCTCTATAACTGGATTGTAAAGCTTTGATATCCAAATTTTAATATCCTCGAAAGTATATGAAAACTCTGGGCTAGCTTTCAGTTTGGAGGTTAACGCTCCAATGTAAGCTAAAAAAACATTACCGATAATGTTCATTTTATCCTTGATGCTTACTCCATCTACCGAGATAGAATATTTTAAATAATTCACAAGATCATAACCAAACAGGAACTTTGTAAGGATGGTAGGGTTTATCAACTTGAATTGAAGCAATGCTAAGTCATTTTCTTGTATATTTGGAAATTTCTCATCCAAAATCTCGAGAAGAGCATGCTCAAGAACTTTTCTACCTTTGGTCGCCAATTTGGCATTATGCTTGTTGCTGAAATCATCCAATGAAGACAGTTCAATGAAATCCGAAGGCTGCCTAAAGGATTTGTCTGTCAATACCAAGGACAATAATTTGGAATCTTCGATTGGAAGAAGCGAAGGAGGATACACAGAAGTTGCCAGTTTAACTGTTTTAGAACCAGTTGTCTTGTCTTTACCATCTTTCTTAATGAACTTAAGCAGTTCCTTACCAATTCCTTTCGGAGGAACATAGTCGTTCAAGTACGCAACCCATTTATCACTCTTTGGCGATTTAAAGTTAACTTTATTAAGCAAAGCTAAGAATGGTAACAAATCATTGCTATACAATTCTTTTAGTTTCACCCCAACCTTTGCCTGTGGCGTACTCAACAAACTCTTCGTCTTTTCAATTATAGGCAGTTGTTGTTGGTGAATCGGAGAATTTATGTTCAGATTTATTTCTTTATCGAGCAACTGGAAATCAATTGAAGTTGGTGCTTTTGTTAGTATCGTGTTTAGTGATGACTGAAATTGCGAAACACTTCCTTTCAAATTGTGAAGATCATCACACCAAGTTAACAAATCTTTATTTGAGAGTCCGAGCCCCAACAGCATGGTTATCTCTTCTCAGTAACGCGAAAAGTAGGATATTGATATATAAGATTTAAATAGAGAAAATAATTGAATTTTCTGGACTTGTTCAATTTAATTTTTTCCTCTCTATGATATTTTTATTATTAGTTTGGAAAGTAGTTCGAAGTTATTGATGACCAATACGTAAATTCAGAATAAGATAAGGTTAAAACAAATTTAGTAAAAAAGATAATTGAATGGAGAAAAAAAAAAAGTAAAATTAATCAGATGCTACAATGATGACTAATTTGATAACAAAATCAGAAACACTTTCACTTGGACCAGGTTTGATGTTGGAAGTAGAAGAAGAGTAAGTAAGTTTTTATTTTCATTTCCATGTTTGTTGGTAGGTGAGGATTGGTTGATGATTTTCGAACCGAATCACGTGCCTATCCGATGAGGGCACGACTACACAAAGATCATCACCTGGTACAGTAAGGAACCATAGGTTATGGACAAGTAGAGTGCACATTAGTGCCACCAAAGGTGAGGAACAAGATGTTCTAGATGTCAATGATCTAGATGTAATATAAGGACAGGAATTGATCTTTTAAAAAAAAATTTTAGTATGTTTCAGCGAACATTTTTCGAGGTTCTCGATTTTGATTTCTGGGAAGATAGCGTAAGGTAGCGTTAGGTAGCGTTAGGTAATAATGTTGGCTAGCATTGGTACAATTGGCATCACATTTGTGTATTTGGTAGCACATGTCTGCCATTGGTTTATCTACTGTGTGTGACAGTACATAACTTGGTCTGATCGAAAGTATACATGGAGGATGATAGACAGCTATCCACTACGACCCAACGCTGTACATCAATACACTTGAGGGAAGTACGCAGCACTACGATAATACAAAAGAGTATCCAACGAAAAGAAAATCATTCCACTACAAATCTTAGTATCCTCTAAACCATGGAACGTCAGTTTAAATCTGAACGATTTTCTGACAACAAGATGAGACTAAAGAGAGGCAAGATTGGCAGTTAGAGCAATAGTGAAACAGCCATCTGGTGCTCCTGATCTGGTTATCCAACGCTCGAACTGCATATCGAAGAAAAGCTAAAAAAGCATTTCACAATCAGATAACTATCAGAGGACTAATGGTGCCAAGACAAAATCGTTTATATCAAGCAGCTGTTATATCGTTTCAGCCATGTCTCTATACTGAAGTTTAGGTCTTCGCTTCTGTTATCTGCTGTACCTTCCAATTCGGGCAACGCCGGTGAGTGAGATCCGTACACAGGGCCAAATCGTCTTATCTTAAATTCCACTTTTTTCTTGGTAGACTATTATTTTCCACGACGCACAGAATGCACAGGGCCCAATAGACTGGATTAAGGACCAGAGATTCCATCATTGTTCCCAGATCTATCCACTGAGCTGAACATATCTTTAGCGGCTGCTCACATATAGCAAAAGTAGACCACAATTGCGCTTGCAGAAGTCGACCAACACGGGTGTTAGACGACGGACCGCATCACCATTGTGCCTATTCTTGCTCCTTTGAGAAAATAGGTGGAGAAGTTAGTGGGGAGTCACTACGGGGAATCACCAAGCCGGTAATCAGCAATTCAGTAATTTTTTTTTGCGAGCTCCATGCAAGAGCAGACAGAGAGGACCGACCAACAGATAAAACTACCATCACCAAGGAACTAAATTTCAAGCAAATGACGTGCTCATGTCTTTTCCCAAATTCCTTCCATGGTCCAAATAACCTGCAACACAGAGACGCTCCCTTACCTAATCAGAACGATTCGCTTCGTGGAGCAATTATCTTCTCTTATCGGAGTCGTTTCTTTTTTCACGAACGGCTTTTTCGTTGTATTTTCTTTTTTTTCCACTAGAAAATACTCAAAATATTCAAAGCCCTTGCCTAAAACTTAAATAAGGCAGGAATATAATATATACCCAGCACACCGCAGTTTAGAATTGGTTCGAGGAAAACTTCACTTATTCAAGCCGTATATCGACCTGATCCATAATCTAGTCCAACGAAGCAACTTACTAATTACCTTTCTGTCACACGACACCTAGTTTTTGACATCGGGCAAATTTTTCGTTTTCCTCATCTTGCCATAGAAAAAAAAAAGAAAAGTTCAACCATAACTTTATTTTTTTAATAATTCTAGCTAGCCGATTGGACTTCCATTAAAAAGCTTAAGCTATCGCCGGAATTTTGGTTATATTAATATATTTTGATATTTTGATATTAGTATCTTCATAGATTTATATTAATTTGGTTGGGATATGGCTCGTAAACATTATGAGGATGAAGACTTCATCCCAGGAACTGTGAACATCTTCGCTTCCAAGTACGACAATGAAGACGGTACTCCCAATAAGCAGGCCGATTTAAAAAAAGACAAAAATGGAGTCATTTTGCTTCCACAGCCTTCCAGTTCTCCCAATGATCCACTTAACTGGTCATCTTTAAGAAAGGGATGGCACCTAATTTTGGTCTGTTTCATCACTGCCCTCACAGCTGCTACTTCTAACGATGCTGCATCAGCTTCTGACGCTATGAATGAAATATACGGGATCACCTACGACGCATTCAACACGGGTGCTGGTATCTTATTCATTTTCATTGGTTGGTCTTGTATTTTCTTTGCTCCAGCATCTTCCTTATACGGAAGACGTATCACTTACATGATCTGTTTGCTCTCCGGTTGCTTGGGTTGTATGTGGTTTGGTCTCACCAAGAAGACTTCAGATTCTTTATTCTCCCAGATTTTTGTTGGTTTGAGTGAACTGTGTACTGAAGCTCAAGTTCAACAAAGTATTAGTGATGTTTTCTTCCAGCATCAGTTAGGATCTACTTTAACCCTTTATATCTTGTCTATCTCCATTGGTTCCTTCTTGGGACCTTTGATCGCCAACTACATTGGCGAAGGTCAAGGCTTCAGATGGATCGGATACTGGGGTGCTATCATTTGTGGTGGTACCTTAGTCGTTGTCTTCTTCGGCTGTGAAGAAACTGTTTTCGACAGAACTAAGTACATCCCAATTATTGACTCTGCTGTTTCCAACCTGTCAGACGATCAAATCGATACCAATGTTCAAGATAAGAAGGAAAATGCAGATGAAGAAATTTCTGATGAGAAGATTGGATCTGAAACCGTCACTACTGATAAGATTAAGCACGTAAACTCGCCAAGATTAATGACGATGACTTCAGAAAACCCAGAGACTGCAGCACAAGAGTTGGGATACAATGCCGAGGACGAAAAATGGAGTTACTGGAAACGTATCGCTGTTATCACCCCATCCTCATACCTTAAGGGAACTGGTTTCTTGCAATATATCTATAGATTTGTGATATATTTCAAGGTTTTCACTATCCCTGCTGTCTGGTTTAGTGGTATCCTTTGGGGGTTACAAGATGCATACATGTCCTTCTTCCTTACCACTCAAGATGACTACTTTACAGAAGACCCTTGGAATTATACCGAAAACGGTGTTGCCATCATGAACGTACCTACTTTAATTGGTGCCGTTATCGGTTGTATCATGTCTGGTATCATTTCCGATTACCACATTCTTTGGTTGGCAAAGAGAAACAACAGTATATACGAACCAGAAATGAGATTATGGCTTTTGATCGTTACCATGATTATCTCCCCATTGGGTTTAATCATGTTCGGTGTCGGAGCAGCAAGACAATGGCCATGGCAAGCTATATACGTTGGTTTAGGATTCATTGGATTCGGTTGGGGTTCCATTGGTGACACCGCCATGTCTTACCTTATGGATTCATACCCTGAGATTGTCATTCAAGGTATGGTGGGGGTTTCCATCATCAACAATACCTTGGCATGTATCTTCACATTCACATGTAGTCAGTGGCTTGAATCTTCAGGTACGCAAAACACTTACATTGCTTTAGCAGTAATTGACATTGTTACCATTGGAATGGTTTTCCCCATGTTCTGGTACGGTAAAAAGTTCCGTAAGATGACCAAGGGATTGTACATTAACTTAGTTGAGTTGTCCCAGGGTAATTGAACAGGTCAATGTAAGTGATTGCACATACACACACACACACACACACACACACACACACACACACACACACACACACACACACACAATTTCTTAACTTTAATATTTAGAGAGGTAATACATATTTATAATTGATCGCGAGTAGGCTCGAACGAGACGATGTATTTAGCAAAACGGAATGAAGGAGAGCTGTCAGCTCCAAGATCAGTATTTCTCCTTAGTACAGATGTGCACACATGCATTTACTCTACATGTTCACCCACTCACCAGTTCTTCTCGGTATTTAAAGAGATATCTACAATAACTTGAGTATAAGGGTCGCTCAGAGAATTTAATAAACGTAGCTTGGGTTAATTTTTAAGTTTTAAGGCTTGGTGAAAACTCTACCTCAGTGCCGTCATCGTAATTTAATGTACATTATTGTTTATATACCTTACTTTTTGGCTTCTTTATAGTACAAATAGCTAATCTAAAGTCATTTCGTCATTGACATCAGCGGATGGTTCAGATTGCTCAACTGTAGCAGTCTCAGTTTGAGCTGGGGCTTGTTCCGGTTCTGGAGCTGCCTGTCCAGCCATGTAGGCACTCAACTCGTCATCTAAATCATCAACAGACTTCTTCACTGGCTTAGGCGGACGTTCCTTCTTTGCCTGCTTTGCGGGCTTTTTGTTTCCGTTGTCTCTACTGTTGTTACCCACTGGCTTTGATCCTCTCTCTCTAGGAGGAGCAGCGATTATTCTGTCAGCTAAGGAGGTAGTTGACTCCACTGCTATTTCTCTGCCCATGGCCATTCTACCATCAAACTTGGAGATCGCAATTGAGTTATTCTTGGCGTTACTGTGCTCAAAGCAAACGTATGCAACACTGTCGTTGGAAGGATCAAACTTGACAAACTCGACTGCAGCGATTCCGTCAAATAATTGGGACAAATCCTGGCCAGTTAACTCGGGGTGGACGTTCTTGACTCTTAACAATGGTCTTGACCCAGCAAGCGAAGCAATTTCACGTGGTACAGCCCTGTTAGGATTGAACGGGCGTGGAGGTCTAGCGTTGTTTCTGCTACTGTTACGGCTATCCTACGAATTGTTAGTAAAACTCTCTAGAATCAAATAAAGCAAGTCTATCGCTCTACCACAACGTTCAACAACGTTGAGTTTCGGGGGTCTTTCAACATCGCTTTACAGCTTTCTGGCCTATACATACTGGTTTATTCACACCTCTTCCTCTGGCGGATCTGTCGTTCCTTGGGCCACCTCTTCTAGGTCCCCCTCTACTTGGCCCACGGTGCCCTCTTTCTGGCTTTTTGTCGCCAATAATTTCATCCAAAGATTTTTCTAATATTGGATTGCTTTCTGACATTTTCTAGAATAAAACTGTGCTTGTGGGAAAGAAGTACGTAACTCGTTATCAACAACTTTGATAATTTTCATGTTTGTCCAATTTCGTTCCAAAGTGGGAAAATTTGAAGAGATCACGTGATGTAATTATGGGTGCAAAAAGCTGGAGCTTAAGCAGGAAGCCTATCCACTACATAGAAGCTACTTCGGTTTACAAATGGTTGGGGTTAACTCTACTTGGATCACTCCATGAAATTGTCATTATAATTAAAATATCAGAAAAAAAAAATAAATAAAAACAGGTAAAACTATGTAGTGAGCATTGAATATATCGTTAATTGATCTAAACCATTTCCATTCATTCCTTTATCTCTCTCTCTCTCTCTCTCTCTCTCTCTCTCTCTCTCTCTCTCTCTCTCTCTATAGATTCTTATTCTTATTCCTTCATTCACCCTTAGTGTGGACAGATCTGAAGTTGTCATTCTCTTCGTATTTGATGCCAACCAGTTTCCCCTCTCCGTCGAAAGCATCAACCTTCTTTAAGTAGTCCAACTTTTCCAATTTAGGCCAGTTAACAAACTGGTACCCGTGCTTGTTAAGATACATCAAACTTCTGATGGTGGACAAAAGTGATACCCCAATGGCCAACAGGTTGTTCAAATCAGTAATGGAGCCTCTTGGGAAAATTAAAATTGCAAACAATACCAAAATGGAAGTACCCATCAAGTATGGTAACAACTGGACATAGGCAGGTCTTCTATCGATAAATGGCAGGTTGATGGAATCTTGGAACGGCTTATACTTACCCAAAAATAAGTCGTATCCATCTTGACGGTTCCCATCGTTATAGTTGTTCTTGTAGTATCTTGTAATAGAATTAACCAAATCATTGAAAGCACCCTGCTTGGTTCTCTGTCCTGTTCTAGTGAAGTCAGTCTTCAAGGCACCAGTCCCAGAGTAAGAGCAACTGACTGAATCAGCGTTATCAGCCCAAAAGTTTTGGAAAACTGGTAATAAACTTGGAATAACCACTTTCCATGGTGTGACATTGTTTTCAACCAAGTATTGAGATCTGGTCAATTGGTTTTGCAAAATCCAACGGCCCAACGTGGACTGGACAACATTAGTACGATCTAAACAATCCATGCAGTTTGTTCTGACAACTTTGGTCTGAACAGAAACAATCTGTTTGGTAGTCAAGTCATACTGGAAGTAATTGTCACTGGTGTATTGTAAGTCAATTAACAGCTTCAACAACAAGTCCACTCTGTCCCATCTCATCTTCCTGCATTCATGATGGAAATCAAAGTAAATGTAGTGGATTTTGGAGGACAACTCTGGATTCGACGATTCGATGTTGGACAAGATCAGCTCAAAGCCTTCCTTGACAGGCTTCTCGTATCCACTTTGATTCACCAAGTTGACACAGTACGTCTCACCATACTTCTCCACAGATTCTTGGAAATGAGCAGTGGTTGGTTCTAATGACGTCTTCAGTGAGATCACCAAGTTAGGCTTATACTTCAAATTATTGATTTCAGCCCAGTAAATTGGAACTGATCCTCTAATTTGCAAGAAGGAAAAGATTTGGTTACTTTGGTTCTGGTTGTTTGAAGTAGTCAAGATCTGCTCAGTTTCGTTAAAATTAGCAACGTGGCCGTCCGTGTCAATACCTCTACGGAAATATCTAGTACCAGCTCTATTGACCGATCTACGAGTTAAAAGAGCAAACTCAAACGACCTGTGGTCTGGAGCTTGGATTGTTGATGACTTGAAGTACCCGTAAATCACAGGACTGAAGAACTGGGCGAAATCTGCGTTCGAGGATAATTCTGCACTCAAATAGTGATTCCACCAGAACTTGGGATCTGGTCCGACTGGGGCACCACCAGCAGCAGTGGCTCCATACTGGTCTTGCAATCTTCTGGTCAAGTCAAAGGTGTTGTCAACACTGAAATATAACGTGGCATTGGACAAGTGGCTGTTCAATAAGTCCAAGTAGTGCTTCTCTTCACTGTCAGATGTGGCGGATGACGAGGGACCTCCGGTTAAGATCGGGATCAACTTGAAGGAATCGATCTTGGCAATCTGGTGGCCCAAAATCGACCCAGTCACCGTGTGCTTGTCTGCGAGAACAATGTACTTGTGGTACTTCAACTTAATGGTACCAAGAAGACAGGACACTTGCGTCTTGGGAAGCTTAGCGTAGACGTCCGGTATATTGTCCACCTTCTCTGTTAACGAGGAATTGATCAAAAGGGCAGGGGACGAACCACCTGTAGAAATGATGTGAGTACCATCATTCGAAGCTGAGTAGAACATGGCAATAGTGCAAGTGTGTCGAAAAGTAAACTAGCTAAACACAATAACTAACTTTAGAAGCCAAATCCTGAAAGCAAACAAGGATATTATTGCTAGCACCCCAGTGGGCTGCGTGTTCGCTCGAAGTGAACCCAAAGAGATTTTTTATCTATGTGCGCACGTGACCGTAGTCAGCAGGTGGCTCTTCGAGTCGGATTGGTTTCTTAGCTGGAAAGGTGAAGAACGTTACACAAAGCCAGAGTCTGTATGGAGGTGGTGGGTACAGCTGATCAAAGACTTGCTTGTTGCCACTCCTCACGTAAGTTGCTTGTTTTAGCTAGAAAGTCGATATAGTGCAGGTCATAATACAGCCATGTACAAGTTGAGCGGGAGCCTTTCCGGGCACGAGCAAGATATCAAGGCAATTGCCAAAGTTAACGACGTCACCATTGTTTCTGCGCTGAGAGACTCTACGGTGAGACTGTGGAGTAAGCCATATGAGAATTTGCCCTGGTCGTCGGCCATTGAATCAAGTATAGTGTACCAGGCTGAAAACAGGCAGTTTCTCAACTCGTTGGCGGTCTTGCCACAGTCGAAATTGATAGCCAGTGGGGGCATAGATGGGATTATTAATATAACCGAAGAGTTTAGCAGTACTCCAGTGAAGGTGTTGGTAGATGGTCACACCAAAAATGTGTGTTCGTTGAATGTTTTGCCTGATGATGAGTCGCTTTTGCTTTCCTCGTCGTGGGACTGCACCTCTATCGTGTGGGACTTGAATACAAACTCGAAGAAATATGTGTTATCAGGCCACAAGGCGTCGGTCTGGGACGCCATATTCATTGACTCCGAGAATTACCTAACAGGTTCAGCAGATGGAACCATCCGTAGATGGCGTGGTGAATCCCAAGTGGGAGAGTTTGTTGGTGGTCACACCGATGTTATTCGTAAGCTCTTGTTGTTACCAGGTGGTAAGCAGTTTGCCTCGTGCTCCAACGACGGAAACATAGTCATATGGGACTTAGCCACGAAGAACGTGGTAAAGAAATTCATCAGTGCACACGATTCGTTCATATATGATTTGGCTCTTTTACCAAACGGAAATCTTGTTTCTTCTGGTGAAGATAGAACTGTGAGAGTCTGGCTGTTGGAGTCTGGCTCGGCCATCCAGGCTATCACGCTCCCATGCATTTCTGTTTGGTGTGTAGATACCCTTAGCAACGGCGACATTGTCTGCGGTGGGTCTGATAACAAAATTCGTGTGTTTACTACAACCAGTGAAAGAATTGCCGATAAGGCAGAGTTGCAGCAGTTCCTGGACTCCGTGGAGTCCTCATCGATTCCGGAACAATCAATGGATAATTTAAAGAAAACTGATATTCCTTTGAAAAGTGTAGCCTTGCAGAAACAGGGGAAGGCTGAAGGTTCTACAGTCATGGTCAAATCCGATGAAACTGGAGTTATCGAGGCCCACCAGTGGTCTGGCGGCGAATGGGTTAAAATTGGAGATGTTGTTGGAGGTGGAGGGTCAGGTGGTAGAGCCAAAGTAGAATACTTAGGTGCTGAGTATGATTACGTGTTTGATGTTGATATTGAAGACGGCAAGCCACCGTTGAAATTACCTTTTAATTTGAATGATAACCCTTACGAGGCTGCTACAAAGTTTTTGTCCGTGAATGAGCTACCATCTAGTTACACTAATGATGTGGTGAATTTCATAATGCAAAATACTCAGGGTGTGGAATTAGGTGGTGAGCCAACAAAGAGATATGACGACCCATATTCTGATGCTTATGCCAGAAATCAGAAGAAGAAAAACGCTACTGAGTCTACGAATAAACTGCTTAAGTTGATTCCTCAGAAAGAATCGATCTATTTCACTGACTTCAAGTCGAATATATTGGTTAAAGGCTTGATTAAGTTTAATAATGAGGTGCAGGAAAGTGATACTGCATTGACTCACAAGTTGACGCCCCTGGAGATAGCTGAGGTAGAAGCTTCGATTACTTCTCCAGATTTCAATTCCAAGCAAGCTTTGAACATAATCACTTTGATCCTTCCAAAAGTATTCCAATGGCCGCTGCAAACATCTCAACTCATTGGATACGATTTACTCAGAGTCAGTGTAAGGAAGGTCACTACTGTAGATATTTTGCAATCATTGGATGGAGCTCAAATCATCGCTTCCGCGATTAAAAGGGGATTGGGTGCTATAAAGCCTGAACAAGGCTATATCCCGTTGTTTATGATGATATTGAAGGTTTTAAATAATCTAATTGGAACTACCTTGTTTTATCAACTTTATTTCACCAGCTCTGATGATTCAGGTGCCAAACTTGAGTATAGTGATGATTTTAAGCAGGTTTTGAATAAAATCAATGAAATTGCTAGGTCGTTTAGCTCCTTCGATGACCATAAACAATACGCTAATACAATGTTAGCTTTATCTACTTTCATTTACAACTTATCGATATTACACCTTACAAACTCTGGATTGGCTGGCAACGAAAAAGCTGCAGAGCCCATTGTTGAGTTTTCCAATGAAGTTGGAGACTTATGTGTAGAGGCAAGCTCTGAGGCTGCATATAGAATGGTGATAGGATACTCTAATTTGAAGTTTGCTGGTGTAATCTGGGAAGAAAATGCTGAGTGGTTGAACATTTGCAGAATTCTCTATATTGACAGCGTCCAAGAGAAGAGGTTTGTTGAGTTATATGAAGATGTGAAACAATTATGGGCAAGGGAATGAGCTAACGATGGAAGTGCGGAGTGACTTTGTCAATTGGAGAAGAGTGAACCTGGGTATGTAGATTAATTAGAAAATGTTAACATTATTAAGATTATTAATACCATTAACATTATTATATTACTATATTATTATATTATTATATTATATTATATTATTTATTTTTATTCATCCATACAAAAATACACAGTGCAACCTAATAGTACAACTCTGGAACCTTCTGCACATAGCTAACTAGTTTCTGAACGGCTTCAAAATTTATATTGTCGGACAACTCTATTATTGATAACACTCTTACGGACGAAGCATCGGTATTAACTTTTCCAATTATTTCATAATTTTTATTGATATCCAACGAATCACCGGAGTTTAACACAAGACTTATAGATCCGTTACTTTTCAATACTGCATGGTTCGAAGATGAATCAAATGATTCACATGTTCCTATAATACGGACAATTTTTCCTTGGTTTTGGGCAACCAATGGTGCATCTATTCTAATACTTGCTGCGTCCATGTCTGTATATTGTATGTATCCGACTAGATGTGTGGTTCTGGGGTCAAATAGCAGATGAAAGATGAAGTATCCTATGTATTTTCATCCGATTTTGATATTGACGCGTTCCATAATGAAGGCGAAACGGACTGCACATAGGCATCGTATAGGTGCAGGAGGAAATGTGCAGTCCGCAGTATAAGCGTGCATCACTGTCGATGGGGATGGAGTTCAGAGCTAATTTCAATGTGAATTTCTTTACTTAAAGTCCCTGATACTCCTGTTCGATTCATACCCGTCAAACAGGCTGCAGTATTATCTGCTTCACATCTTCTATTTCTTCTTGATCTATCTCTCTTGGCCGAGAAACCTGCTTTATCGTTGAACTTCGACTCTTGCATAAGCTTTTTCTGGAAGTTGCTTTATCAAGAGAGATAAGGCTGAACACTTTTACATCTAGCCAAGTTGTCCTCAATTCGTTCCCGGAAGCTCACTGGTGCTTCCAACACCGGAATGCCAACATCTCCTCCTGTGGGTAGTGTGGCACCTGTCGGGGACCAAGATATAAGTAGTCCTTCCCCGCATTTGGATGATGGTATTCTGCCCTCTCACTCAAATCATCATTTAGCAGTAGCTCAGCAGTTACAGCAACAACCATCAATTGATCAAGTGCAAGAAGAAGAAATAAATGACGAGAAAGAAAAGGAAAAGAACTCTTTTCACAACTTACTAAAATTATCCAAGTATACGTCCGTGGTGTTGGAGAATAAGGGCTCCGTTGCGAGGGACCATGTATGTATAAAAGAACAGTAATGCACCAAAGAACCAAGAACTTGCAAACTTGAAAAGAAACAAAGACAAATTGCAAAGAAATATCCCATACGTCTCTTGTACTAACATACCTAGTTATCTAATGAAAGGACGCTACTTGCTTGGGTGAGAACGGGTGCTACTTTTCTAACCCTCTCTATTGGAATGCTTCAAATATTCTTGGTCCAAGAAATGGCATTCAGTACGTATTTCAAGGGAAAAAAGCTGGACCTAGACTATAATCCCAAATATTTGTATGTGCATAGCTTAGGAAAGCCTATATGTATAGTAGGAGTAATAGTAGGAGTATTATCTTTGATGTTCGGCACTTCCAGGTATATTCAAGTACAGTCGATGCTAATGAGAGATTTCTACCCAGCTACGAGACTTACTTTATCATTCTTAGTGATACTTAGTATGGTTGTCTCCTTATTAATTTTGGTCTTGGTCATTAAGATTGTTTGAATAAAAATTGCAGCCATTATGGTTGGTAAGCTTTTAACTTAAGCGAGAAATGACACAAAACCGATTTTCACACAATTGCGGAAGTTCACAGAATTTCAAATTTATCAAGAACAGGAGCGCGTTGAGCTGGACATTTGTGGACACACTAGTTACTACTTAGGTTTTCGTCAATAAATAGATAAAGTACACGGTTACAATATGGCAGATTACGCATCACAAACGGTGGCTCAATTAAAAGAGATTTTAAAGTCAAAGGGATTATCACTCGATGGTAAGAAGGCAGATTTAGTGCAACGTTTGCAGGAAGCTGAAGAAGCAACAGAAGTTCCAGCCGCTGCATCTGCAAGCAATGGTGCTGAATCCGAAACTACTGGTGTTGAAGTACCTGCCGCAATTTCTGCCCCTGAGCCCTCTGCTGCTGAAGTGGTTGCTGCAGCACCTGCATCAACTGAGGGTGATGCTGCTTCTGCTGCCGCTGATGCTGCCGACTCTGAAGGTGCTGCCAAAGTTGAAGAAAAACCAAAACCTCTCACAGCTGACGAGAGAAAGCAATTGGCAGTAGAATTACTCGAGAAAAAGGTGCAAAGGGCCATAAAGTTTGGTGATGAACAAGCTGCTGAAGCTGCTAAGAAGGATCTTGCTAGAGTGGAAAAGTTTGGTGTGGAGTTAGGTACTGCATTGGCCAGAGAAATTGGACTCGTTGACAAATCTTTAGGTAATGGATTTAAAAAATTTAACAAACATAGAAAAAACTTCAAGCCAAAGAATAAAAATTTCAAGAAGAAGAACAATCAAAAGCAATAAGCAATGACACATGACAAAATAGTTACAGAAAAAGAATGAAATAATAATCTGAATATCGGATGCAACTTGTAGAATTAAAATAGCTGTGTCTCTACTGTTAGTAATAAACGGCATTCCCAAGCAACAAACTAAGGTCGTGCAATATCGATGCCAATAGAGCTACCCAACAAAAGCGTAACATGAGGAGTAATAGTTAGAAACCGAGGAAGCATGAGGAAATTTTATACTCAATATGTCAAGTTATCTGGTACAACACGTTTGCTCCGAACAATCCATTCTTGGCCCAGATTAGACTTCGTCAAATGTTTGACAGGTTTGTCCATTCCTCTCGCTTACTCGCGGCTGTATTCCTATCGTAGTATCCCTCTATTTACTCGCACATACTCGCGGCTGTTTCCCTCATTTGCTTCCATTTACTCACGGCGATTTCTTAATATTTCCTTCCATTTCCTTAGTAGCTTCTTTACATGCACTGGTTATCGTAAATTTAAGAGGATGAGAATCGATGGAACAAATTCACGTCATACTGCGTTACTACTGTAGACATGAAAAAAAAAAAAAAGAAACTTCAGCACCCTTCCTTATCCACCATTGCTCTAAATTGTATGATGGCACCTTGTTACATTTTTTGGCTGGGCAGGTGAGAATAGGAGGCATGAAACAGGAATCTTTTTCTTACAAATCGGTGGATTAGAATGGAGAGGCAGAAGTCAATGGGAAATACATCAAATACAACAAAGACAGCACTGTGACGAACTGCTACCATGTGGGCGCAAAACATTACATCAAACGATATATTAGCCTAGCTGTTCCTCGGTTGCATTTCAAGCTTTTGGTTGTGCTACTGCTACCGAAATAAGCTTCAGTAGACAGGGCCTGTTTCATGATTTCTCTCTCTTCAATCTCTCCCATACAGATCCTTAGGCTCCTAATTAAAGAGGGGAAGGTCGTGTGTCAAACACCTCAATTTCCAAACGTTTTTTCATAAGGCACTGACTATCTCAACCTACGTTATTTTTCCATCCTTGACTTATTTTTGGTACACATTGTAATCAAAATTCTAAAAATAACCCAGGTTGTTCCATCGCATTTCGTTTATGTCAATAAACTGTTGAAAAAAGCCATATATCGAAAAACCACCTACATCACTTGCTGATAAATAAAAAACAACTTGCTCTAGCTGGAATTTTTTGCTTCTTAAAACTGATTGAAGCGAACTGTTTTAGTAATAATTAATCAAATTAAGGGGGAATCACCAATTTATTTTTTTTTTTTGTCTTCCTACTACGTCTCTTACAATCCAGTTGACTTGAGGTTGTACCTTTCCGAGCTAAGAGAGATTCCAAACGGCGAACTTTTTCTCGTTCTTTTTATTTTATTTTTTTTTTTTTGTTTTTCCATACGTTTTCCTCTGTAAGAAGTCGAAAGCATCAGCCAAGTACCCAACTTAACAGCATTGAAAGTGCTAGTATTCTATAGGAAGGTATATAACTCATAGGATCAGAGTATTAATTCGTTACAGATTACGAGAAATTCTGCTTGACCGAAGATCCATTCGCTAAGCATACGAATTACGACAGAAGAGGATATTTGATACTATTAATAGTCCACGACATCCACAATACTTTGACTCGCACATACACACGCACAAGCAAGAAGCCACTCCCGTATACACACGTACAATACAGAAGTAGTCTCACTCTTTCATACCGATACGCACGTTTGGTATTTACGAAGTTTTTACAGACTAGACAATCTCATATACAAACGCTTGTTTATCTATCAGAACATCACCAAAACTATTTTACGATGGGTAGAAGAAAAATCGAAATTCAGCCATTGACGGATGATAGAAATCGAACTGTTACGTTTGTTAAAAGAAAGTCAGGGTTGTTCAAGAAGGCTCATGAGCTTGCAGTTTTATGTCAAGTCGACTTGGCAGTCATTATAATTGGAAACAACAATAGGGTGTACGAATTCAGCTCTGTTGACACCAAGGAATTGATCCTGGCTTATGAGAAAATGCCTAGAGTGCAGGAGCTGAAGGGTCCAGAGAATTACGGGGGTCCTTACAAGAAGAAGAAGCATATAACTACAAGGTTTGGTAACAATTTAGATGATGATATCTCTATTGAAGGGGAAGATATTGATTCCGACTATGATAGCGATTCGCCAGACCCCAAAAGAGTAAAGAGAAGCTATGACCAAATGAAAAATGAATCGCAGCCTGGCAGTAAAGTTGCTGGCAAGGGTGGTTACCCCCAAAGGCAAACACCATCGCATATTTCATTAAGTAACGTTCCAGGATTCAACCCAGGTCCCTCATTCAAAACGGATGAAGAGCAACAGAAGATAATCCCAGGCGGTGTAGCAGGACACCACAGACCTGTACTAAGAGTTCAAATTCCAAATGATGCAATGGCGAACGCAGATAGTGCCAAGACAATCACTGCAGTTGATTCTTCGATAAAGCCAGCTGGAGGGGACAACAAGGAAAACAGTCTCAATAATAAAAATGGGGTGGAATCTGGCAATGGAAAGTATGTCAACAATAAAAACAGTCACTTGTCGATACCGCAGAATGGTGGAGGAAAGTCTGGCGACAAAGGTGCTAGTCCCATAAATGCGCCTAGTATAAACACATCGAAATTTTCCAACTTTGGAACGTTCAAGTCGCCCGATTCTCGCAAACCAACGCTACCATTACCATTGCTGTTTAATAGTAAGTCGCTGACATCTTCTCCATCGAGTGCCACTGCTTCACATCAATTGCCTTTAAATGGAGTATCATATGGGGGAATACCACAATCTTCACCATCATCTCAGTATGCCCCTAATTTCGCAGTTTCGAGTCAAGCCTATCAACAGCAACAACAGTACATGCAACAACAATATCATATACAGCAACAACAGCAGCAGCAGCAACAGCAGCAGCAGCATCAACAACAACAACAACAACAACAACAACAACAAAATCCTCTTGGTGCGCAACTTCAAGCACAAGTTCCTGGTACTAACTCTTCAGCTAGTTCAAACATAAATAACCAGAACAACAACACAGACAACACTCCGAATACGACTGGCACGAATCCAAATACTCCCAATCTATACAATAACAATACCAGTAAAGTGCGTCCTCCATTGCTAACAGGGCCTTCACAGCTAATACAAACTAATACTGCTGGTGGTGGTGGACAAACACCAATTTCTGGCCTACCTTCGAGATATATTGAAATGTTCCCTTCTCCTTCAGCATTCTATGCTCCAGAATGGCCCACTACTGCAGTTGGGCTAACTCCATTGCACAACTCTATGCCGCACTATTTTGGGGGCTTAATATCTGCAAAACCAGGAGGACCTGGAATACCTGCTGGATGGCAGCAGGGTCTGCAAACGCAAGTACCTCAGCAGACCTCTCAGCAGCAACAGCAACTAAAGGATAACTTTCCGGCTCCGTCACAGCAGCAGTTTACAAATAACCCAGAGGATGACAAGAAAAAGTAGCTGCAGAAGATCTCACTTTCAGCTCATGGTATGAGAATATTGGAGAATATATGTAAATTTACAAAATAGTATGTATATAATAGTTATAATTAGGAATTGTAAGCGCCAGTGAAGAAATTATGAGCAGAGTAACGTAGAAGCTAAGATGTGGCAGATAGATTGCACGAAGGCTGCAATTTTGGCCCAAATAGGAAAGCTTTAAGCACCACACTACATATATTTTCAAAGCCAGAGGGCTAATAATTAAGATGTACGAATTATTACTAAAATTTGGTGAGGCAAGATGATGGTTGCGCTCAAAGGAGAATGAACTGTTCTCCAGAACTATGAACGAAGATCAAGGGAAGCCCAGCCAAAAGCTTCTCAAAAGCCAAGCTACGCAAAGGTAATCGAAAAAATGAAATAAGAAAGAGAGTCCATCCAAGAAAAACAAAGTGAGTGGTTCATCGCTGAGTTGGTAATTTTTGGGCGAAACACGGTGACAATAAAAGAAGACTACAAATAATCCTAATACGTATAGCTCATCCTTCCTATCGAGCTTTTTATCTAGCTTTTTATCTAGCTTTTCATCCACATCTCCATCTCTCCCTACTCCTCACTGCAGCTCTCACTCTCATCCTGTACGTGCTGCTGCACCCAAGTGGACCCAAGTGGACCAAGTGCACCCATCTCCGCCTGCACACAAAACAAAGTCATTTCCCAACGTGATTTTGTAGGGCTTTACACCCGTCACGTTCCACAGTCACAGCTCTTGTGCGCACTCCCAGAAGAAACTTTTCCAACTTTGTGAAACTTTCATGGAGTCCCCAAGCGCACTGAGTGGGTGAAAAAATCATCTTCAATAGAAATTATAGATTTTTCAAGATTGTAGTTAATTCAAAAAGGCCTAGGTACACCAGTTCAATATGAAGGTATGTACATGATATATACATATAAGACGAACAGCAATAGCGACAGATAACGAACCAGAAGAGAGGGAATCAATAGATGGTAGGATGAACTAGTATACAGTAACCATGAATCGAAGAGGTGGATGGGGGGAAGAAAAAAAAAGTGTGAAAAAAGCCAGTGGGAACTACGCGAGAGTACGCTGGCATGTAAAACAGACTAGCAACAACTTATGTGGGTGGAAAGCGAAGTACATTGATAGAGTTGTGATATCTCTAGACCAGAGGCGGATAGAGGTACAGCAGATGGAAAAAAATCAAGGAAAACCCAGAAGAGGTAGCACGACTACATTACCATACATTCAATGCCCTCACATGGCTGTCTACCACAGTTATCATCCAACAGTTCGTCCTGTATCTTTGATACCCTTTTGCTAGATAATCTGTCGATATTCTTCTGTTTTATTGTCTTATTTGTCCTTAAGTTTGTTTTCTCTTCTTTCAAAGCAATTTTTTTACTAACATCCTTCCTTTAGTTAAACATTTCTTATCCAGCCAACGGTACACAAAAGTGTATTGACATCGAAGATGAACACAAATTACGTGTTTTCTACGAAAAGAGAATGGGCCAAGAAGTCGAAGGTGACTCAGTTGGTGATGAATTCAAAGGTTACATTTTCAGAATCACTGGTGGTAACGACAAGCAAGGTTTCCCAATGAAACAAGGTGTTTTACACGCTACCAGAGTTAAGTTATTATTAGCCAAGGGTCACTCTTGTTACAGACCAAGAAGAACCGGTGAACGTAAGAGAAAGTCCGTCAGAGGATGTATTGTTGCCCAAGATTTAGCTGTCTTATCCTTGTCTGTTGTCAAGCAAGGTGATGCTGAAATTGAAGGTTTAACCGACACCACCACTCCAAAGAGATTAGGTCCAAAGAGAGCTAACAACATTAGAAAGTTCTTCGGTTTAACCAAGGAAGATGACGTTAGACAATTCGTTGTTAGACGTGAAGTTACTAAGGGTGACAAGACATACACCAAGGCTCCAAAGATCCAAAGATTGGTTACTCCTCAAACTTTACAAAGAAAGAGAGCATTAAAGGCTCAAAAGATCAAGAACTCTCAACACCAAAGAGATGCTGCTGCTGAATACGCTCAATTATTGGCTCAACGTTTACACGAACGTAAGGCTGAAAGAGCTGAAATCAAGAAGAGAAGAGCTTCTTCATTAAAGGCTTAAATTTAATTATAACATTTATATAACGTTTATAGTATACACATGTTGATTTGAAAAATTAGCGCATATGTACATTCATCTTGGTATTTTTGTTATTGTTTAATGAAAGAATACATAGTGGTTTAAAAAAAAAAAAAGAGAGCTAGTGTAGTATTTTTGTATTTGTATCAGTGTTAGTTCGACTGCTTACTGTATTGTATAAGTCTAAATGGATGGTCCAATGTATCTTTTCGCAGGCTTCAGATCGTTGGAGTCTCCTCCCTTTCTCTTATTTGTCATTCTCTTTATGTTTTCATATACTTCGTCTGTTGATAAGTTGGATGAGTAGGTGAAGTTTTTCTTGATGAAGTTATCTTGTTGCTCCTTGTAGCGAGGATCACGAAGGAGAATCTTGAGGTGTGCATCGAACTGCAGTTCTGGCACCTGCTGGCCAGTTATCGGACATTTGATTGTAGGTTCGGAGCCAGATGTGGAAGAAGATGTGGAAGAAGTTGAGGCAGCAGCTGATGGACGAGTCTTTAGTCTTGATTCTCCTGCAGCTCTTATCTTCATACCCTTAGGAGCCGTCTGTCGTTTGTCTGCCACCTGTGGCTGTGCTTGACCTTCTCCCTTATCTGGGGCCTCTGGGATAGCAGCAGGTGCTGGTGGAGCCTCCTGGGGTTCCGGTCCAACAGTGCCATCTGCTCTCAGGTCGCTCCTCTTGGATTCTAGCGATCTAAACACTAGCTCGTCTCTATTCATCGGCACCGCCAACTCTCTCACCTCATCTACAGTGTCAAATTGTATTCTGCCAACCACTGCAAAGTCTTGCCAGTCTACAGAAGCATACGCTACCTGTCTTTCACGCTGCAATCTCTTCTCGTCCTTAGCCTTGGCCCGGTGGAGTCTTTCGTACTTGGCTCTCTGGTACGCATTCTGTAAAATATTGTCGGACTGCTCTTGCAAAGTGTCTGGGTTCAATGCGATGAGCGCCCTGTACTGCTTAATATACTCATTATACAACGGGTTCAACGAGTGCAGCGGGTTGATAAACTCGAACTGGGCCTCCTGTTTCTTCTTCCGCTGATGCTCTATCAACCCTTCACCGTATCGGCTTCCGTTCTGCGCCACAAACAAAGCCGAAAGCTTTATTATCTCAAGATCAAGAGCAGATATGGGCGGCAACTTAGTGAGGAACTGGAACACCGCAGGCTTTGGCACCTGCTCAGGCTCCAGCTCCCCCGAAGGGGACGAAGATGAGCCAGAACCTGGTCCTAATCCTGGTTCTGCGGCAGATCGTATGCCTCCGTTGCCATTTCCATTGCCATTTATTTCCTCTCCCCCTCCCCTTGCCTCCTTTAGCATCCTCTGGTAGTACTGGTGGTTCGGGTCCGACTCCACCAAGAATGAAAACTTCTCCCCTGCGTTCAGCTTGAGTCTTTCCTCAAACGAGCTGCCATTTTTCACCACGTACCCCACCGTCTTGTCTATGGTCTCTTTTACGCTGGCCTCAGGCACTTCTGACATCGTTTGCTCTATTTGCGGAGACCTAGTGCATACCCACCACTTGTATAACTTCATCATCTGGTACTCCGATGCATTCACACTATGTGTGTTCTGTGCAGGAACAGGATGCGGGAATCAAATTGAAACTTGGAGCAGGCAACACTTAACTTGAACTACTACCTTTTGGTTCATTGGTATTCATTCACCAGCTAGTTTATCATGGACTCAGATTCTTCCCAGAACTCTCTTGGGCAGGACCTAGACCAGATTGGGAGATTAAACATCTCAATGCCCAACATGAACTTGTCGCAGTATCTCAACAGGCCAAGCTTCAACTTACCTAACTTGCCACATATAGATCTCAAGAACTTACCACGAGTGAAGTCTTTCTCTGAAGACATATCCAAGTATATATCACAGTACATCACTTCGTACTCACTTTCGGATGACACCAGTATTACGTCGATGAAGACGGCGATCTCGTCACGGATCCAGATGAACAATTTCTTGAACGATTTGAACTTGGGGCTCTCTTTGCAGACGGCTATCGATAGGCTAGAACCGTTGACCAGTATAATCCACGAAGCGATCGTATTGCCTGTGGAGGATGATCACAGCTTTCTGGTTCATTCCCATGAGCATCGGGGCCATGACCACGATGATTTTCTCGGCGGAACTGAAGACGACACGGAGCCGGTCGGGGTAGACAAGATCGTTCACAAGCACAACCAGCCGTTGGTAAATGACATCGTTAACCCAGAAAAGCCCTTGGCGACCAGATCTACTCGACACCATAAGAAGAAGCGGAAACACGCCGTCGCCATTTTATCGACGGATGCAGACACTAACTCCACACAACCGGCCAGTGACTGGGATCATGTAGACGAATTGACTTGCGAAGAGGTGAAGGCATTGACAGATTTGCAGTCTAGTGAGGACTTCCAAAGGGAAGATCTACTCAGATTGAAGATTCAAAACATTCAAAGCTTGACCAATTTGAGCCAAAAGCTGAAAAATAAGCTAGTCACAAGGTTGATGATGGGAAACTACTACAGGTATATCAACAAGGAATTACCAGAGACCGTCAAACGATTGCACATAGAGCTGGAACCAAAGGCTCAGAGAGATTGGCAGGCTGCAGCTGAGCAGCAGATTCTGACTCAAGACCAGAACGATCTTGACATAGACATGACTTCTTTGTCGATGGCCGAAGATTCGTCTGACACATCCATGAAGGACTTCGATCTGAAAAAGGATGAAAATGAGGTCACCTTCACAGAAGAGGATCTCACCCCATCATACCATAATAAAGCATCCAAGATTTTGGGGTGTAATCACTATCAGAGAAACTGTAAATTAGAATGTCCCACCTGTTTCAAATGGTTCTCCTGTAGATTCTGCCACGATCAGCAAGTTTCCTCGCATAAGCTCATCAGATCAGAAGTCAAGCACGTCCTTTGCATGTCCTGTATGACCCCACAAAACCCATCTGATAACTACTGTATGGAATGTGGCATTGAGTTGGCTAACTATTTTTGCAAAAAATGTGTCCTTTACGACAACGACCCAACTAAAGATATTTATCATTGTGAAAAATGTGGAATTTGCAGACTAGGTTTGGGATTAGGAAAGGACTATTTCCATTGTGATAAGTGTAATATATGTCTTTCCATTGATTTGAAGGAAAGGCATAAGTGTATTTCGAATACTACTCATTGTAATTGTCCAATATGCAATGAATACTTGTTTACTTCCATAAATAAGGTAGTATTTATGAAGTGTGGTCATCTGATTCATCAGCTTTGTTATGACGAATTGATCAAACATAGTTTCAAATGTCCACTTTGTAAGAAGACTGTGGTTGAAGTAGAAACACAATTTAGGATATTGGATCAAGAAATCTTGCAGCTGCCATTGCCATCACCGTATAACATGTGGAGATGCATAGTAAGCTGTAATGATTGTAAGGGAAAGTCCAACGTATCATATCATGTATTAGGATTGAAATGCAAGTATTGTAAGAGTTACAATACGAATCAATTGAAATTGATTAAGCCAGAGGAGGAAGAAGAAGAGGAGGATGAGGAAGTGGACCACCTAGGGGCAAGTGGGATGCATTCGTTAAGAGAAACAGAGAACTCAATGAGGCTTATCGGTACCAACCTTCAGAGCAACTTCAGGATAGGTGAGCAGAATTTAACCACCACTGTTCAGGGTGAGGAAGTGGATGAAGACGAATACATTGAAGAAGATGATGATGAGAGAGATCTGGATAATGAAGAAGATTTGGTGAATTTCAGGGCGTTGAAAAGGTTAAGGGATAGGCAGAGAATAACGAGCAATAGTAACAACAACCAAGGTAAAAACAAAAATAATGCTAATGCTAATGGTAATGCTCATGCTCATAATAAGAATAATAATAATAATAATAACAACAAAAACAAGAACAACAATAATTACAATATTAATTTGGACGGCGTCCATGATGGTGATGTATCTAATGTTTCATATATTGCATCAGTTTTACAAGGGTTCATTAATAGCGTACTGGATGAGAAATAAGCGGAAGAAGGCATGATCCATCAAAATGATATCTTCAAATTTTATTCTGCATCTTTTTTTATTTAATTTATTGCATAAAGGGATATATAGAGAATACAAATGACTAATGAAGGTACCAGTGTAGTTAGTTAACTTAGTAGCGTGGGTGTTTTAGCCCATTTCTCTTTTTTGCACCCAACATTCGACTTGCATGAAAAATCTGTCATGGCAAGCAAGATCGACAAAAGGAACCAGGTTTGGTGGGGACCAAGTCAAAACCGAAAACAGTACTCAAGACTATGAGACAGAGAAAGAATAAGAGGCGAAGAGTTGCCATTTACTGAAAATAAGTTCAGCTGTTAAAGAGGCTAAGATACAATGTAGATCAAGCCATGAAAGGACTGAATCGATGCCTAGTGCTTCTTCCCCAACATCATCATCACGTGCACTATGTTGCACTTTTTTGGAGAAAGTACAACAAAAAATAAAATTGAAGTGACAAAAAAAAAAAAAAATGTACGTCACTTTCCGCTGCACCCACCAGAAGTGCCAACAAGAGAGCCCGAATGATCCAGCCCTCAACACTCAATGGCACCCAAGATGATGCTCTTTTTGACCGCCGTTCCCTGGTGTTCAACGTCACAGTTAAGACCTCAGGCAGCCCAATACAAAACGAAGCCAGCTTCAAGCAAACCTACAGACCATTTTTTGTTCCTTCACATTCATCTTATTTTTCTTCTCTACAATTGCTTTTTCTTTTTTTGCACGTTGCATCGCACGCCCTCGACTTAATAACAGTTGCAGTGTCTTACAGAGCTCATTAATCAGTAACCAAGTGCATGGGGCCCTCACACCGTAAAACAGTATATTACTAGACTCTACCTAATTTGCTTTTCAGCATCACCTACACATTCCTATTCTTTCTACTCTAGGTCATATATTTTGTTGGAACGGCTTCCTGGCATTTCTCTACCCCACGGATTCTGTTTTTGGTCATTCGTACAGACAAACGTTGGATCTCGTATAACTTTTTTGCTACTACTACAATAGCACAGGCAAAAAATAGCGTAGCAATTCTTCCCTACATACAACGAAAGTGCCAAAAAAAGAATCGCGAATTGTTAGTAGATCCAAAAAATACAGAAGCCAAAAAGAAAGAAGACGCTAAGTGACTTAGGCAAACATTTCATTCTATTTGCCCCAGAGAGACCCACAGAGCACAATCTCAGAGTTAGAGTAGGCGGGCGTCATAATCAGCATTCCATTGCGCAACTCAGTTTTCAAAATAGGCAAGAAATCCATGCAAAACACATCCCATCAGAGAGATACCATATAGATAAGAACTTACAGCATACACGGAGCATTCACTTCTAGGCATGAATTCGTTGAAATTAATAGTAAATTCCTGGGATTCATTGTACCCACCCATAGGGCGAAGAGAAGAAAGATTGAGCTCGAAAGAAGAAGCTGACTTGGACGAAAAGCTGAGACTACTTGATCAGGAATTGAGGACGTCAATAGATCAAGAACAACAAGTACAACCTGACATCCAATTTCAGGCGCCACCAGAGGACAACGGAGACGAATGGGAAGTAGATGAGACAAAAGAGAGCCGACAAACGGATTCGCCCGAAGTGGAAGGGGATTCCTCTTCGGTGCTTTCGTACCTCTTGTTTCTACCCAACTATCTTGTGATAAAGCCTTTGACTTTCGTGTGGCTATTATTGACTTATCCATTCACGAATTTTTTCCAATCAACGACAACCAACACCACGACGTCTGCATCTGCGATAAACTCAGAAGGAGGCGAGGCGATTGATGGTTCGTCCGAGTTGACAGGAGCTTCTGAGGATTCCGTTACTGGACAAGTTCCACCAGAATCTGGCGGAGGTGCCGCCACCAGAGGAGGCGCTTCGGACGATGACGAAACTCCAGCTCCTGAGACCCCTAAGATAGAAATCTTAAAACAGGAAAACATTATATCAAATACCATCAAATCCCCTTCAGCATCGTCAAAATACCTTATTCCTCCACCACAGAGGTTGGTTCCATTATCCAGAAACCCACAAAGGAAGAGAAGAAGAAAGACGTTGATACTTGATTTGGATGAAACCTTGATCCATTCTTTATCAAGAGGCTCACCAAGATCATTTAGTTCCAGTGGTTCATCTAACATGATCGAAATCAAGTTGAATAACATTGCAAGCTTGTATTATGTATACAAGAGACCATACTGCGACTATTTCCTTAAAGAGGCGGCAAAATGGTTTGAACTTCAAATATTTACTGCTAGTGTCAAAGAATATGCTGATCCGATAATAAATTGGCTAGAAAGCGAGATTGCTCCGTATGTGAACAAGCAAGAGCAACAGCAGCTGGCCAAAGGGGGAAAGCATTCCTATACTCCACAACAATCAGTCTTCACGAAGAGATATTATAGGACGGATTGCAGCTATAGACCAGGAGTGGGGTATATCAAGGATTTATCTAAGTTTTTCCCACGTGAGGAAGATTTAAAGAATGTAATCATTTTAGATAACTCACCTGTGAGTTATGCCTTACATGAAGACAATGCGGTTATGATAGAGGGGTGGATTAACGACCAGGGTGATAGGGATCTTTTAAATTTACTTCCAATGTTACATAGCTTGAGCTTATGCATTGATGTGAGGTATATACTAGGGCTCCGTGGCGGTGAGAAGGTTTTCGAAGGCTAGAGTGAGGTCTAGATATCGAAAAGAGCTAAGAGGCTGGAGCTTCCGAAGGCAACTTGCTTGAGGGCAGCATAAGGGGATATGAATCAAATTGATATTAGAAATTTCCTATCATATTATGAGAAATGAAACAAAAATTAACACAGAATTACTAGCACTAATTGAGCATCAGCATGAACTGCCAAACCTGTTAGTACTAAAAGGTAGAGATGATGACAAATAAAAACTGAGCTTATATCATATAAAAATCAAACATATAGACTTTCCTTCCTTTATATCACTAAAAAATCAATATAGATGGAATTACTAAATCGATTGGCATTGAGTAGTAACAACTTAGTAGATATACCACTTGGTCCTACACCAGCAAACTTATATGTCCTGTATAATTGTGCATCCTGCATGTAGGTCTCCATATTAGTGAGTATGGTTCCCATACAAACGACCATTCGTAATGATTTATATACGTTTCATAGTCGTTCCGTAAGGGTTTCTATGGTCACCGAATACTTAGAGCAGCTCCGCAATGGGCAAGATGGTCATAATCCTATCTCGAAGTTGGCAGATCAACTTCGGGACGAAAAAGTTCGTGGTTCCGAGGAGATTTTCACTGCAATTCCAGAATTGAGTACTCTTTTCAGTAAGTATATGAATATGAACGTCGCATACCAACTGAATATTCTAAGATTAATGATCAATCTTCTGGCTGATAATGAAAAGAATAGAAATTCTTTGATAGAAAGTGATATTATTTGGAATACGGTGCTCCAGAAGGTTATTGATAAGGATTTGGATCAAGTAGTACTTGATAGAATATTTATATTTTTAACGCAATTTATTCGAAATACCGAACAGAGTCAAGACCATGCAACATTCTTCAGAATTCAAGGTCTAGACAAGATAATTATGAGTCGCATTGAGAGTTTTGTGCAGCACTTCGCTGGTATAAGCCATAATGCGAAACAATTCACAGAGGATGCGGTTGTAGATGACTACTTGGACCAATTAGGTAATGAATTGGAACTATATGTAGAGATGAGTAAAGGCACTAGTTTTGAATGGGATGAATATGACCTTGTCACTTTCTTAAGGCTATTCATGTTAGTGCTTAAAGTGGACTTTTCTGATTACAACCCTTGTAACAGCAAAGATAGTAGCAAAAACTTACCCTTAGAAGAGGATGATTATGAAGAAGAGAGAGAGAATGTCCTACTCTTGTTATCCGACATTATCATGAAACTTTCTCTGGTTGATGATATGAACAAAAATTGGGCTGTGACCTGCCAAAATTTTTTACTTTTGATCATGAAAGAAGAATACAAAATTAGTTCTATTCACACCAAAAGACAGATTTTCGCTTCTAGTGGCAACATATCCTCCATTCCTAGCTTTGATAATTGGCTAGTTGCTGAAGATTGTATAAGAATTATATATGGTAGTTTCGATGAAAGTCCCGGCACTTACCAGGTTGCAGCATCCTGCATAATACTAGGAAATTGTGTTGATAGTATTACATCAAGGCAAAAGTTATTAGAAGGCATAACTTATTTTGCTTCTTCGTCCAGCTCTGCAAATATCAATGGAAAGGCTTTCGTTGGGAAAATTTGTCATGCATTGTCAACATTTAACGATGTTGTACAGTTCCAAGCTATACACTTGTTGGTTAACATTATGACGGAAGAATTGTCTAAGCAGCTCTTTTATATACAGGATAATTTTTCAGCTCTATACAAGGCTTCCAAAGTAATTCTAGATAATAAGTCATACTATCAAGAGATCAGTAAGATACTAATCAAATTGATCAAAAAGTTTATCAAAGCATTCCCCCAGAGTTTGGGTATTGATTTACTAGAAAAGGTGGAATTCTGGACGTTATTTGCAAACTTGGAAGATGACGATACAGTTCTTCTCTTAGTGTTGCAAAAGGTTATACAAAATAAAAGAATATCATATGGAAGTGGGAAGCAGGAAGAGGACGAGAAGACAATTTATAAGTTATTGTTTCAAAATATGGTTAAGCCAGTTGAAAGCGTTAATTTAGACAGCTTACTAGAAAAATTGAAAACATTGGCAATGGCATTCCAATGTGATAATATATCAAAAGTACTAGATGGGTTATATACACAGGACAATGATGCACAGCAGAATGCACTAAGTGAAAAAATTTTAGCTCCCTATTTGAAGTTTCTTGACAGCCTTTACACTTTACTCCAAAAGCCTGAATCGGCCACTTCTGCAATATTACTTAACAATTCTAAATTCGTTGCTGCCACAACTAAGCAATACACCGGCATTCTAGGTGAAAATTCCAAAATAGTGGAAATCTGTGATGAGATCTTGAAGTTATGAGGCTTTTCATGCGGGAATTCGCGGCCATTCGCGGTCTCTTGCAATTACACCCATGGTTAAGATGCGGAGCAGATAAAATATGCCTTCCAGGGCATAGCTGAAAAATAAAGGTAAAAATTTTTACCCTCTGTGTAGTAATTTCCTCTTCTAAATTCCTTTTCTATAAGTTCTCTTTTTTTTCCGCCTACTGTCAATATTATTTGCTATTTCCAGGTTTAACTTTTCTTTAGGAAGTCCTTTCTATACGATAAATTTTTCAAATTGCACATTTTTGGAACGTTTTTTTTTTCATAGAGATCATTTTGTGTAACTCCGAATCACCTATATATCCACCTATTAATAACCATGACTGTAACTTCATACTACTCTAACCTCCCAGAGGCTGAGTATGATCCTATCGTTAAGATAATGTCACAATATGCCAGTGATCCTTCCCCAAGTAAAATAGATCTTACCATTGGTGTTTACAAAGCTGAAAATGGTGATTCGTACTTGTTCCCATCGGTTGCAAAAGCCAAAAAGTGGTTACATGCAAACGATCCTGGTCACAATTATACTAATATGGCTGGTATTCCAGAATTCACTGCAGGAGCCAGAGAAGTTATTTTCGGAAAGAAAAGTGCTATCCAAGGTAAGATTGCTTCCTTACAGACCATTTCGGGAACTGGTGCTTGTCACATGGCTTCTCTCTTTTTAGGCGAGTGTGGGTTAAACAATTACTACATTGGAACCCCATTTTGGTCTAACTACCAACCAATGCTCGAACATGCAGGTGCCAAGGTTAATCACTTTAGACACTACAACCCTGAAACCAGAGAAGTCGATTTCGAATCAACTGTGAGGGCATTGAATGAAGCTCCAAAGGATTCCGTATTCTTGTTTCAAGCTTGTTGTCATAATCCTACCGGTGCCGACTATTCTAAGAAACAATGGACTCAAATTGCTGATATTATGAAAGAAAGAGAATTGTTTCCATTTTTCGATATTGCCTATCAAGGGTTTTCCTCTGGTGACAAAGATGAAGATGCGTGGGCGATTAGACACTTTTACGAAAAGGGTTTAAATTTGCTAGCCTGTCAATCATTTTCTAAAAATATGGGATTATACAGTGAGAGAGCTGGTTGTTTGCATGTTGTTGTCCAAGAGGGTGTAGAAAATCCAGATACTTTGGATAGGGTCCAAGGTATGCTCGTTACATTTTTTAGAATGGAATGCTCTTTTGGGCCTGCATTTGGGGCTAGAATTGCAGCTGCTTTGATGAACAAGCCGGAATTGAAAGAAGAATGGGATCAAGATGTGGCACAAATCACCGAAAGGTTACAAAACTTAAGAAAATCTGTCTTGCAGAAGTTAACTGCCATGGATACTCCAGGAAATTGGGACCATGTTATCAAACAAAATGGGTTATTCTGGTACACTGGTTTGAATGAAGAGCAGGTTTCAAGGATTACCAAGCAAGAGCACGTTTACATGACTTTTGCAGGTAGGGTCAACATTGCAAGTTTAAACGAATCAAATATTGATCAATTCTGTAGATCATTGGACAAGATAGTCAGAGAAACAAAATAGAGTAAGTAAAGCATAACATGGGTAAAATGGAATATGGTTGCATAATTGCACTTGCATGAATATGCAGCATTGAGTAGATATTTTTACATCACGTGTTAAAACTTAAAAGACATATATTGTTTGCAAAACGTTCTAGAATGTTTTCTACATTCCGTATTCTTATCAATTCTATCATCTTAGTCCTTTTCCATGGACTTGAGTATGAGGTGCATTCATACGTTACACATCTTACTCCTTTCTCTTATAATTCTCCTATAATTTTCACTTTTGTTGTCTCTTTTCAATTGACGTTTTCAATAGAGTTGTAATTTTTCACTTTTATTACTCGCTGCATATTTTCATGCACCAAGGGTTGAATTTATGCAGTTTTTCTTCCCACATTCTAAATTGCACTGGCTAAAAAATTGGAACAGATCATTGCTTAGACAGTGCTAACCTTAGTTCAAGACTACCACATGATAAGTTGTGTTTAGACTTAAACCCAACTGCTAAGATTTTGTAGTTATTAGAAGTTTTTATATTGCTACAATATCAGTGTTATTACTATCGTTCATTTTGATTTATAAAGTTTACGTTGTAGAAAGAGAGTGAAGAGATTCGACTCGAATTTGTCTCTTTCCCTATGCAATGTTGTAATGTTGAACTTAAGATACATACTCTGACTACTCATGGGAATTCTCTACACGGAATGTAGCCGCCACTTTGGAACCAAATCGTTGCTCCATTTTATAACCTTTGGTGAATCTTCTTTAAATGCGCTTTTAAGTTATCCTTCCTGTTGAATCTCTTACCGCAATCAGGTTCATCACACTCATACGGCTTCTCCTTAGAATGACTCTTCAAATGACGCTTAACATGCTCGGGTCTCTGGAACCTCGAATCACAAAGTGGGCATGGGTGCTTCTTCTTTGGATCAATTGGAGTATCAGTTTTAGTCTCAATTTTCGTCTGTATTGCTGTAGAATTTTGAAGTTTGTTGTCACTGAGTATATTTCCCGGTCCTGATTTCTTTGAAGTAGAGAGCTTCGATGTATTAAATGTAGCCATGGGCGGTAATAATGTCCCACTGGAAGATGACGAGGGGGTATTGGATCCTCCAGACGATTGAACAACGTATCCGCTGCCTGGCGTACTGCTGGGTTTATTATTATACATTGATTGCACTGATGCAATCAGATCCAAATCTATTCTAAATGGTGGATCATTTTGAAGGTCAACAGGGAAGTTTTGCTGATACTTTTGTGCATGTTGCGCTTGTTGCTGTTGATTCAGTGGCTCCACAAATTGAGGCAGTAATACGTAGAAATCGCTATTGGTGTTCTGCACAGATCCAGGAAACATTGCACTTTGAGAAAGTGTCTGTGTAGATGAATTAAAAGAATTCTGGGGTGGAGAGTTACTTGATACTACTATTCCCCCAGGTGTTGAATGCGAAGATATTAGATTACTGCCTCCAGAACCTCCCATTGTATTTTCATTTGGATTCTGTTGTACTTGGAACTCATTATCAAACTTCATAGTTCCAAAATCAGTAGAATTGAAAAATAAATCATCATCAAATCCTGTGGAATTATCCTGTATGCCATTGCTGTTTATGTTTGTAGTTTTGCGTGAATTCATTATTTGGTGCTTGGCCTTTCTGATCTCTTTTAAAGCATCATCATCTTGATCTTCGATTTTAATGCTATCTAGTGTATCATTTCTCTGTAAGGCCAACGGTGTTATATACCCCTCGTTTGGGTTTATAGGTGCGTTATATTGGTAGGTAGAAGATGTCAGGTATTGATTTTGCTGAGGAATTTGTTGCTGTTGCTGGTGTTGTTGCTGTTGCTGTTGTTGGCCCGGTAAGGTATTGGTACTCGCAGACGTCGCATTCCACGACTTGGCTGCAGCTGCTGGACTTAAGAAGCTGTTCTGATTATGATTTTGAAGATTTACAAAACTTCCGCTTGGAGTAGCCAAAGGGGTGTCTAGGTTTTCCAAATCACCAGATAAATCATCCAACTTTGGCGATTCAAACGAAGATGGGGTATAGAATGGGTTGCCGTTGATAGATAAATTTTGTAACGCATAAGAAGGGATGGCATTCGTATTAATTGCAAAAGTACCACCAGCTCCGCCTGTCACTCCATTCCCGTTCAATGTGGTCGAATTGTTTGCCATTAAGAAGGGGGTATTTATAGCATCTATCGATAATCTGGAAGATCTTGATCTCGTATGTCCCCTAGATGAATGGGGAGTCTTACCTACCTTGCTACTTCCGTTCCCATTTCCAGAATTGACTTGAAGTTGGCTTGATGCTGCCAACGCAGCTGCATTTCCTCCAACGGGAGAAAACGACGATGGAACAGATGATCCTCTCATAGGCGTGTTATACAAATTTACTGAACTTACAGACAACGACTTCTTTCTTCCTATCTTCCTGGGCGTCACGGTATTGTAGTACAATGAAGCTGGGGAGTCTAACGACTGATTAGATACTGACGACGACAACTGTGGCATAGAATCGGTCGACGATATCGTGTTTATTGACGTTGAGTGCCTTACTGTTTTATTTCGTAATTGAGGTTGAGACTTTTGTGTTTGTAGTGTGTGGGAGTGCGAACGGGAATGTGTGTATGGGTATTCGCCCTGTCCTAGTCCTTGTCCTTGCCCTTGCCCTTGTCCTTGAGTCTGTGAAAGGGAAAAGGACAGGTGCTGAGACTGAGGTTGAGTGAAGTGGTTCGATTGCTGCTGCGCTTGAAGTTGTTGTTGTTGGTTTTGCTGGTGCTGCTGGCGTTGCAGTGGGTTCTGCTGCAGTTGCAGATAATTCTGTTGTAAATTTTGTTGGTTTTGCTGGAATTGGTTGCTTAGTTGCTGATACTGTTGGCTTACTTGTTGCTGAAGCGACTGGGTCTCTTGGAACAAACCCTCGTCGTGGAGATTGATGGGCTGAGTCTCTTGAATGAACGACAAATTCCGCAGGTTGTCAAACGAACTCATGGTCAACGAATGTGAAGCTGCCGGAGAATTCTCTTGAGATTTCCCAGACTTATGGTGGTCCAGGTCTGGCGAGAAGCCAACTCCCAAGCCTGAAGTGTCGTAAAGTGAGCCTGCCATATTTCGTTGCACTGCTGTTGAGTTATCGATTTCCATATGAGATAATGCTGGTGAAGATAGTAAAAACTTATCCATTGTAGGAGGTGCTGAAGTAGCGTGGTAGGGTCAGGGTGTCGTTGTTGATGAGGGTGGGTAAATTCTAATGGTGCTCCCTAATTTTTTTTCCAGTGTCCTCTTTTCTACCTTTCGTTATTTTTTTTTGCTCTCTGCTGTTCTTCTTTCTGTCTACTCTACTCACAGTTGAGTACTCTTTATAACACGATCGACTGGCGGCAAAAAAACAAGCGATAAGAATGGCCGTGTATAACTTTGTGGAAAAGAACAACCTATCAATATCTAAGGATTGATATACGACTCAATGAATATTTCAAAAAACGCGTAGCCTGCCTTTCTTTTCTTTTTTCGATTTTTCTTTGCTTAAGTTTCTGACGCTCAGTTAAGTTGGAATTTTGAATTTTGAATTTGAATTTGAATTTTTTAAAATTAGAATTTAGGATTCTGGTAATTTAATTTTCGGTATTGGTGAGACTCAGTAATGATTCACAACTAATTCCGATGTGGGAGGTGTTCGCAAGTATCCAATGGTAAAGGGTATATTCTTGAAGTGGACTTTTTTAAAAGCAATGTCGTAAGGAATCCGTGGACTTGCTGAGGCTTAACGGTGAGCTAATCTTTTTCTGAAACAGTGTGCTAAAGTGAAATACATAGAAGGGAATAAAATCAAAAAAAAAAAAAAAAAAAAAAAAAAGTTTCCAACAAGTTGACCAGATAAAGGTTTTGGTGAATTAAAAAGAAAAACAATTTAATAATTGGTGTGGGGTGAAGTAATAAAAAGGAAAACTA